TGTTTGATGAGAAAAACTTAGGTTGAAAAATTAGGTGAGTTTATGCTTAAAACAAGAAAAATGTTTGCTATTTTCAAAAAATAACTTCTTTTTAAAAAACATTTTTTGTGCATCTTTGGCAGATGATAATTTTTTCACTCATTTTGCATCGCAAGTAAATGCATCTTGTTTTAAGAATATTTAGATATTTGCACTGGAAAACAACAAAAATATTGAGCAAGAACATCACATTTTGCAGTGTTGCAAGTCTTTTTCATTGGTTCATAAGAGTAATTTGTTCATGAATCCGACTATATTGGTTTTGTGTTTTTGCATGCATCCAGTGAGGACTGCGCAATCCGTGATGTCTGTTTATTGACATTTTACATGTTTTTAAACCATAATAACTCGCGTAACTCTAGTATAATAACTTGAGTATAAGACATCAGCCTGCGACCCTAAAATCCGTCCCTGTCAGACTGTCTCCAATAGATTGTCCTTTATTTCAACATTCCAGGGGATTTTATGTCAGTATGAAGAGCAGGAATCGGGGCATGTCAAAAAGCATTTCAGAAAATGAACCTACAGTAAACCACAACACAGTACAGGGTTCCTGGGAATTAAAGCAGCTCCAGGAAGAAGTCAAAGACTATCTGGAAGTGGAATTAGATAACTAACATGCACAATGCAAATTCTTCTTTAGTCCATCCAGATCATATTGTGTGTTGTGATTGGTTAGCTGGGCCAGTGTGTGCTGTGATTGGTTAGCTGGGCCGGTGTGTGTTGTGATTGGTTAGCTGGGCCGATGTGTGCTGTGATTGGTTAGCTGGGCCGGTGTGTGTTGTGATTGGTTAGCTGGGCCGATGTGTGCTGTGATTGGTTAGCTGGGCCGGTGTGTGTTGTGATTGGTTAGCTGGGCCGATGTGTGCTGTGATTGGTTAGCTGGGCCGGTGTGTGTTGTGATTGGTTAGCTGGGCCGATGTGTGCTGTGATTGGTTAGCTGGGCCGGTGTGTGTTGTGATTGGTTAGCTGGGCCGATGTGTGCTGTGATTGGTTAGCTGGGCCGGTGTGTGTTGTGATTGGTTAGCTGGGCCGATGTGTGCTGTGATTGGTTAGCTGGGCCGGTGTGTGTTGTGATTGGTTAGCTGGGCCGATGTGTGCTGTGATTGGTTAGCTGGGCCGGTGTGTGTTGTGATTGGTTAGCTGGGCCGATGTGTGCTGTGATTGGTTAGCTGGGCCGGTGTGTGTTGTGATTGGTTAGCTGGGCCGATGTGTGCTGTGATTGGTTAGCTGGGCCGGTGTGTGTTGTGATTGGTTAGCTGGGCCGATGTGTGCTGTGATTGGTTAGCTGGGCCGGTGTGTGTTGTGATTGGTTAGCTGGGCCGATGTGTGCTGTGATTGGTTAGCTGGGCCGGTGTGTGTTGTGATTGGTTAGCTGGGCCGATGTGTGCTGTGATTGGTTAGCTGGGCCGGTGTGTGTTGTGATTGGTTAGCTGGGCCGATGTGTGCTGTGATTGGTTAGCTGGGCCGGTGTGTGTTGTGATTGGTTAGCTGGGCCGATGTGTGCTGTGATTGGTTAGCTGGGCCGGTGTGTGTTGTGATTGGTTAGCTGGGCCGATGTGTGCTGTGATTGGTTAGCTGGGCCGGTGTGTGTTGTGATTGGTTAGCTGGGCCGATGTGTGCTGTGATTGGTTAGCTGGGCCGGTGTGTGTTGTGATTGGTTAGCTGGGCCGATGTGTGCTGTGATTGGTTAGCTGGGCCGGTGTGTGTTGTGATTGGTTAGCTGGGCCGATGTGTGCTGTGATTGGTTAGCTGGGCCGGTGTGTGTTGTGATTGGTTAGCTGGGCCGATGTGTGCTGTGATTGGTTAGCTGGGCCGGTGTGTGTTGTGATTGGTTAGCTGGGCCGATGTGTGCTGTGATTGGTTAGCTGGGCCGGTGTGTGTTGTGGTCGGTTAGCTGGGCCGGTGTGTGCTGTGATTGGTTAGCTGGGCCGGTGTGTGTTGTGGTCAGTTAGCTGGGCCGGTGAGTGCTGTGATTGGTCGGGAAATGTCATGCGCCTCACCATAGCTGCCTGCGAGCTTCAGTGTAAATATTGCGTCAAAATCAAATCAATTTGAGCGCGATTTCAACCCGGATGATTGTAACCACTCTAAGTTCGTCTGGCTTTGGAAAGCTAGCGTGTCTCCGACATAGTGATGACACTCGTTGCCTTCTCTAGTGCAGCTCAACCCGGTCTCGTCCCATTCGATTTGATTGCCACCGTTTTAATAGTAAATTTGTATTTGACATTATTATTATTATTATTAGCAGTAGTAATAATAATAATACAATGGTTTTAATTTTAAGGAATATCGAACCATTGTTTTGTCCATGTTTTAGTTTAAACAGTAAACATTTGTCGTGCTACACTTTGCCAAAAAATAAAAGGAATTATAACATTTTCAATTGATTAAGTTTTTAAAAATTACCAAATTGTTATTTTTATAAATTGATTTGATTGATTACCACCGTTTTTATAGTAAATTTGTATTTGACATTATTATTATTATTATTAGCAGTAGTAATAATAATACAATTAATTTTTAAAGGAATATCGAACCATTGTTTTGTTTTAATTTTTAGGTTTTAATGTTTTAACTTAAACAGTAAACCTTTTTTGTGCAGCACTTTGCCAAAAAATAAAGGAAATTATTAAATTTTTCATTTGCTTGCATAAAAAAAAAATCTAAATTGTTAGTTTTATTCATTGATTTTACCACCGTTTTTTTTATCCAGTAAACATTTGTCGTGCTACACTTTGCCAAAAAATAAAAGGAATTATAACATTTTCAATTGATTAAGTTTTTAAAAATTACCAAATTGTTATTTTTATAAATTGATTTGATTGATTACCACCGTTTTTATAGTAAATTTGTATTTGACATTATTATTATTATTATTAGCAGTAGTAATAATAATACAATTAATTTTTAAAGGAATATCGAACCATTGTTTTGTTTTAATTTTTAGGTTTTAATGTTTTAACTTAAACAGTAAACCTTTTTTGTGCAGCACTTTGCCAAAAAATAAAGGAAATTATTAAATTTTTCATTTGCTTGCATTAAAAAAAAATCTAAATTGTTAGTTTTATTCATTGATTTTACCACCGTTTTTTTAATCTAAGTCCAGTAATACAAAGAAAACAATATAGTGAAACGGGCAGAAAATTTGATAAAATACAGTGATACAGATTTTTAATCATACAGACCAGCACTAGTAGATTATTTAAATGAAAAAACTTGATTAATATAATCATGTTATTATTGGGCTGGGCGATATGACCAAAAAATTATCACTTTTTTTTTTTTTTCTATATCAGTCGATATCGATATTATCACATTAAATGTAAAATTTTTATTTCTTTCGAGTTTAAAGGCAGATTTTTGCTCCAATGTGAAAGTTGTAAAAACCCGATGGTTAATTGTGGGTTTCAACTATTCTTTATGGTCATTTTTGAATTCTTTACACTTTTCCAGTCATTTTTCCTTAAAATAATATCTTAATAGAAAAAAATAATTTCTTAGTTCTGCATGTTCTAGTAATGAGTAATATTGTTTCAAATCAAGAAACAAGTTTGTGTTGCCTGAAAATATTAATAATAGGCCTATAACATTTTTTGTCTCTTAGAAATACACATTTGATAGTAGCTTGAGTTAGGATGCAGATCCGTAATATCTGTAAAAATTGTAGAAATCTCATTTTTATATGGTGAAATTTAATTATTCTGACTGTTTGAGGTGTTTTTTTTTACCATTGGTTTTCCATAGTAGCATACATTTAGATCATGATAATCACAGTTTAAACCACAAATATAGCACGTCAATACTATGGTAAAAATGTAATATGGCTTGTAGGTATTTATGAAAAACAGTAGTCTAAATACATTTATAAATGCTTAAACGCTATAGCTTAATCACAAAAAATACTGTAATTATATTCCATTACTCCTCCTTCAATGCATTTAATACATGTCTACATTAATAATATATTACAATTCGACACAAATACCCACATTTCTGACATGGAGCAGTTAGTGCTACTACAGTAAATGCTAAATTATGGCGATTTGTAGATTTAAAAAGTCTTCTTGTCAGCGCTGTTTCATCTGCGTGTATGTTATTTGTGTTCCTCGCTGAATTCAAGAGCTTCACACTGGATCTAGGCATGTAACGATTACCAGTTTGACAATAAATAATGATTAAATTCCCCATGGTTAATATTACCGTTTCATCTTTTAATTATCATTAAAACTGTATTAGATTACCGTGATTTGAACAACTCGCGATAAATACTGTCCAGCATAAAGCACAGTTTTCAGTAACGGTCTCACGTGCAGACAGCAGCAGAGTAGTTTAGTTTTGAGTGAAAACAAGGCGGAAAAGCTGGGAGATTTTAAAAGAGTGCTAAGGGAATTATTCAAATGAATATATGAATGAATTCAGAAATGATTCGACGGCATTTTGTTTTCATCTTCGCTCCATGTGATACCTAAAGGAAGTGTTCTTAATCACAATACTGCTCTGTCCACACAGGTTACGGGAAACGGCTCTAATTCAGCTTGTCCATAAGCGCCACCTGCTGTCAGCGAGTGGATTTACAGAGACTTATATTTACATTCAGCCTGTGTGTGGCTTTTTTGAAGCTTTATTTGAACATTTACGTTAGATATTTCAACATGCTATTAGAAATTTTCATACAGTTACATCCCTAGCTGGATCTCACAGCGCTGTTCAGAGACTCATCAGTGAGTAACACATCTGCTCTAGTGAAGCTCAAATGACTAGCGCTCTTTCGTTCCGCCTTTGCCGCATAAACATCATATCAAACATTTATAACTCTTGTTATCGTTTATCGAGGAAATTTATATCGCGCGATAATTATCGTTATCGGTTTATCGCCCAGCCCCATGTTATTATGAATCACCCTAAGATGAAAAATAATGCTGAAAGCATGCAAAAAATCTTGTTTTGTTTGTCTCCAGCAGAATGTCATCGTCTGTCTACCAGTTCGTCTGTGGGGAGTCACGATCCACGGTCCGCAGACTGCTGCTCGCTGTCCAGCACTGAGCCTTCAGAGGACGGCTTGTCGGTCAACGCCGTGTCCACAGTCTCGTCCGAGTCGTCCATCGAGGGCAACAGCGGCTCGCCGACAGCACGGTCCGTGGGAGCTGATATTGACCTGGAGCTCAGTCCTCCGGAGCTGCTCGGCTTGGACTGGCCGGTTGGGGAACCATCGGTCGTGACCCCAGACCCTCCATCGCCGTTCGCCACCGTCACCATGGCGCCCAACCCTCAGCTCACATACGTGGATCGTGTCGTCATGGAGATTATCGAGACGGAGCGAATGTACGTCAGGGATCTGCGCAGCATCGTAGAGGTGAGAAACATTGGTTTGAAAACTGCTGTGCGTTCTGATCCATAAATATCTAAAAAATATTGAAAAATTTGTTTTAAGAAAATTATTGAAATTAAAATCATTTTGTGGAATATTTTAATGCTTACTGGAGTGAAATTCAAATTCACCATTGTTTAGAAATTGGGGGTTGCTTATATTTTTACAAATATTTTTAAATAAAAGCTCACCAATTATTTGATCAAAAATACAGTAAAAATGTTAAATAATTTTACAATTTAGAATAACCGTTTTCTATATGAATGTATTGTAAAATGTAATTTATTTCTGTGATCAAAGCTGTATTTTCAGCATCATTACTCCAGTCTTCAGTGTCACATGATCTTCAGAAATCATTCTAATATGCTGATACACTACTGTTAAAAAGTTAAGGATGTGTTAAATTAATAAAAAGTGATGATAAAGACTTATATTGTTAGAAAATATTTCTATTTTGAATAAATGCTGTTATTTTGAACTTTCTGTTCATCTGTGAATCGTGAAAAATAAAATGTATCACAGTTTCCACAAACATATTAAGCAGCACAACTGTTTTCAACACTGATAATAATAACAAATGTTTGTTGAGCAGCAGATCAGCATATTATACTGATTTCTGAAGATCATGTGACACTGAAGACTGGAGTATTGATGCTGAAAATACAGCTGCGCATCACAGAAATAAATTACATTTTAAATTATATTAAAATAGAAAACCATTACTTTAAATTGTAAAAATATTTATATATTATATATATATATATATATACATGCATGCATACATTCATACGTGTGTATGTATATTTGTTTTTAATTAATATATTTTATATTTATAAAGTCACTGAGCTTGTTGCAATGCATTCTGGGATTGCTTTATCCATAAAGGATACATGTGATGCTGCCTTAGAATTTGTGAACGTAACTTTGATGCCTAAAAGTGCTGTTAATGTAGGATTCTCACTAGGCTTTGAAGAGAAAGCGTTCCTCTGCATGTCCCATAAGCCCTCCACAGAGCCGCTGACAGCTCCATCATCTCTAACAGCCAATTCCTGTAACGTTACCAGCCTCAAACAGACAGATGGTGTTGCTCACACTTCTGCAGAACACCCAGAATGCCGTGCTTTAAAGCAACAACTACAAACCAACAACTAATAAGAGACGCTAAGGTCTTGAACTTCGCTGCACTAACTGCTGTTTTTGTCGTTGGATCCCGGCGGTCATTTCCCATTCAGGATGTCTCGCTGCTGAACACGGGAATTCCTGGGGTTTTCACAGGTGTCACTCCTCATGCAGGAATGTGTTTGCACTTTCATATTCCTTATGCATGACTTTCCATCCACCAATATTGCATTGCCGACCGTCTGCAGCACATATAATGCAGTCTTGATGAACATAAACATAGTGAGCTGCAGTTTAAGGGTGTCTTATCACGTATGCGTGTTCCTAAAGTTAGACCTTATTAGATACTTTCTTCTAAGGCAGCATAGCATGCATCTTTTGTGAAATCCCATAATGCATTGCCATCTCAGCGGAAAAAACAATGCACGGAAAATATGGTGACATAATAAACCAACCAACATTTAAATCTCTAATTAACACTAAATCAACCGATATTTAAATCTTTAATTAGAACAAAACTGACCAATATTTAAATCTCTAATTTGAACAAAAACAACCGATATTTAAATCCATATTTAGAACAAAACATCCCATATTTAAATCTTTTACACGCCACGGAGGCAGCCATCAGCGTCGGCGCCATTGTGCATTTTTCCTCACGCCATTGTGTGAGGTTTACATGCATGTGTAATACTTTCAAGAATGAAAAAATTAAGCCTGGCGGGGTTTTATTTTGTTTTGGGTTTTTTTGCATTGACAATTTTCATGCCATTCTCATTACTATAATGCAAAATAATATATATTTTCATTATTGTAATGAGGAATTTCATACATTGTTAGTACTGAGTTTAATTAATGAAATCAATCAATGCATTGTAATTATTGTGTGTCAGTGTTTATTGTCTTTAGAGTCAGGCAGAATTTAGTACTGTGGTATTACCATGGTATAGTGATGGTATCAGATGGTAATACCAGGGTACTCTGATAAAGATCAGTTTACATGCATGTGAGTTTTACAACCGATTTCAAGAACATGTCCAGTCCAGATTAGAAATCATTTATTTAAAGAAAATGAAGTGTGTGTGTGTGTGTGTTTGCATTGACAATTTTCATGGCATTCTCATTAATATAATGCAAAACAAAAAATCTGACTTGTATTATTTCAATGTGGAATTCCGTACATGGTTAGTACTGCATTTACAGTATGCTGCCTTTAATTAATAAAACAAATCAGTGCATTGCACTGTGTGTCAGTGTTTGTTGTCTTTAGTGTCGGGCTGAATTTAGTTCCTCAGTTACATTCAGCTGTATAATACTCAGAAATAGCAAGTAAATTTCACAATTATTTATAACGAAATGGCATTCAATTAAACATGAAATTCTGAAGTAGAAAAACTGAAGTAGTGTCTTCTTTTTTTTACAGTGTATGGTGAAATAGTTTGCTTATTTTAGTAGGATTTATGTAATTTGTATGATTTATTTAATTATTATGATGTATGTGATTCATATAATTCCAATTCATTTGCAAGTCAAAATGTTTTCCAGTTTTCAAATGTATTTTGTAAGCATTAATAGATTGAGTGTGCAGTTTTCCTTCAGTTCTCTAGCGCCATCTGCTGAGCAGTTGAAGGCATTACAGGACAAATCAAGATGGATAATAGTTTATCATTGGTTGAGTTTGAAATGATATTTATTTCCCTTTTCCAATTTTCAGGATTATCTTGTGCACATCATTGACACCCGGGACCTTCCCATCAAACCAGAACAAGTGTGTTCACTTTTTGGGAATATTGAGCACATTTATGAGTTCAACAGGTAAGATTCGAGCATGATGACTTAATATGCATTTTACATGCTTTTATGCAATGCATACATATATTTATATACACAAGTACAGCAGTGTCAAGTCAGTATTGGGTGCTAAAAATGAGGTTGCACTGGGATGAAAACATCATGTAGTGTCATTTAGACAGCTCATAACTCTCTAACCATACGTGCGAAAGTATATTCAGACACTATCATTGGAATTATTCAGGACTCATCTACTGTTTAGAAATTGTATTTATTCAGGCAAATGAGGAAGCAGCAGCTGTCAAGTGGCAGATGTTGTGTGGCTTTAGATGTGGGACGTAAATACACATGGTGGTTTGTTTTTGGTCTAGAGTTTTGGTACACATGCTCACCTAATGCTCTTCACATCTGTGTTTGAACAGTTGCTCTTTAACAGCGCATGAGCTCGACTAGTGCTGTAGGACTTTGAAGGAACAGTTCAGCTGAAAATGTGCTGTAAACGCACTCACCCTCAGGTCATCCAAGATGTGGATGAGTTTGTTTCTTCATCAGATTTGGAGAAATGTAGCATTGCATCACTGTCTCACTGCAAGTGAATGGGTGCCGTCAGAATGAGAATCCAAACAGCTGATAAAAATATCACAATAATCCACAATTAGATGTGGGACGTAAATACACATGGTGGTTTGTTTTTGGTCTAGAGTTTTGGTACACATGCTCACCTAATGCTCTTCACATCTGTGTTTGAACAGTTGCTCTTTAACAGCGCATGAGCTCGACTAGTGCTGTAGGACTTTGAAGGAACAGTTCAGCTGAAAATGTGCTGTAAACGCACTCACCCTCAGGTCATCCAAGATGTGGATGAGTTTGTTTCTTCATCAGATTTGGAGAAATGTAGCATTGCATCACTGTCTCACTGCAAGTGAATGGGTGCCGTCAGAATGAGAATCCAAACAGCTGATAAAAAAATTACAAAAATACACAAGTAATCCACAGCACTCCAGTCCATCAGTTAACATCTGGAGAAGACAAAAGCTGAAACAAATCCAGCATTAAGACGTTTTTTAACTAAAATACGAGTCCATAATAACTCTTCCTCCAGTGAAAAAGTGGTCTGAATCAGGAGAGAAATCTGCACAGATCAAGCAGCGTTTAAACGGCTCTAAACACATATGTGACTGAATTCTGATGTGAGAGACAACCGGAGATGCACTTTTTCACTGGAGGAAGAGTTATTATGGATTATTTTGACCAGAAGTGATGGTTTAAAGTTAAAAAAACATCTTACTAATGTATTTGATTCCTACAAACACGCAGCTTTTGTCTTCTCCAGATGTGAACTGATGGACTGGAGTGGTGTGGATTACATGTGGATTATTGTGATGTTTTTATCAGCTGTTTGGACTCTCATTCTGACGGCACCCATTCACTTGCAGTGAGACACTGATGCAATGCTAATATAATCCGTATTTAGTCAGTTCTTTAAAAGTTTTTATTCAGTTTGTATTTAAGTCACTTAAACCAGTTTTAATTTAAATCAGTAGTTTAAACCATCAGTCTTCACTTTTTTCGTCCTCATCTGTATAAAACTTATTTTATTATTAACACAAATCAACTTTAATGCACCTCATTAACTAACTGCCTTCTGTTCTGTAAATGACTTTTACATGCATCAAAGATGAATACTACACAGTGAACCGAAGCAAGGCCGTTTATCAGGGCAAGTGCGTTGCTTTGAGTCCACAGTACGCGTGTTTCCATTACCCTTCAAATTGCGCAAATTGAAATTGCGAATTGAAAATACGCCTAATGGAAACGCGTCAATTTCACAAAAACTCCCTTAAATCGCACGAGGTGGTTTTTCAGGCAATGCGAAAAAGGAATAATTCACAAAACTGCAATGGAAACGTTTTTTTGCATTTACAGGTCACATGGCGTATGTAAAAAGTCATATGATCATTCTTCAATGTACTATAACCTCCAAGAAACACTTCATACGTGGCCGCTCTCCAGTATAAGGGGCTTTTCCTACCATTAATGCTTAGACAGTTTACACTGCACATGTCTGCGGTGCAGTGTGGCTCTGATACGGTCACTGAAGCTGATTGCGGCCACTCTAGTCAGTGCTTGTGTTTATTACAACCGCGCCGCGCACGTTTCTGAAGCGGCTCTCTGTGCTGCTTCGGTAAAGATACACTCATAAATCCTCTGAATAAATATAGCCAAAATCCGTTGCCATGACTTTTCGCGAGAGGCAAAAGCTTAAGTTTTAAGTCGCATAACATTAGTTAATGGAAACGCCGTCATTTCGCAATACTTTATCGACATTTATAAAATATCGCCAAAGTTTTGCGCAAATCTGATTTGCGTTTGCCGTGTTCATTTCCAGACTTCGTCTTTCTGTGTCTGATGTCTGACAGAAGGTCATTGTGAACCTTGACGAGTGTTGGTTATCACATATAGCCAAGCGCATGTTCGAGCATCTTGCTTTATCATTTTCAGTCTTTGTTAGGGCTGCCAAAAAAAATTTGAATTTCGAATATTCATCGAATTTAAAATAAAAATCTGCATTCGAGTTTTAGGTGTGCGTTACGGAGGCAGTCTCATCAGCGGCGCATGAGATGCGATGACGATGCAAGTGTCGTTGCATTATAATGTTTTTGTTAGCATATCCAAATGAAGCCACTAGAACTGCTGCATTTATTCATTGCACAATGTTGTTCACAAACGTTTAGTTCAACAAGAATTATTAACCCTATAAAGCCTACTGTATAACATTTGATAAGCAAAGGCCTTTAAATGATCAAACTTTGCTGTTAAACCCGTTTCACACACAATCTACTGCATGTCTTCTGTTGTCTGATCGATAGTTTAGTCAAAGCTCTTTTAGTGTAATTCTGGAGCTGGAGCGTCACGAGTCAAATCTGGACTGATTTTGATCAAGTAAAGGTCAGAATAACTGCAGTAATATCTCCAGATGAACACTTACTGCACTGAAGCAGCTCAGCTTTACTTGATTCTCCATCAATCATGTTTTAGAGTCTCAAATCTGATCCTCAGGATCTTTTGAGGAGCGTTTGTTTCCAGAAGCTTTACTTTCACTGTTCCTCAGCGGAGGAATGATCTTCACAAGCCTCCAGAACATCTCACGGTTATTTCTTCAGCTCTCAATCACTGCATTATATGTTTGAATCATTTCAGTCTCATCTTACTGAGACACATTACTGGAGATATAGAGCGACGACTGATATTTACATCATTTTATATCAGTATCTGCTCTACTGTAATAAAGCGCTCATTGATTTACATTACAAGCATCAGATTTTCATCACGTTTTGAGGAAAAAAAATGAACTTAAATGATTTTCGCAAATGGCTGCAATATAACAAAGAGTGAAAAATTTAAGGGGGTCTGAATACTTTCCGTACCCACTGTAAATATCAGCATTTGCATCAAATTGTATATTTTTGCTCCGTTTGAGTCTGAATAAAACTGTGCTGTTTTTTCCGCCATATTCTCTCTGTATCAGACTATATGAGCCAGAAAAGCATGATGGATCAAATATGATGCTCAACAAAAACACAAATGCACACTTTCTTTTAGATTTTATCTAAATGTTCAATAAACGGTTCAATTAAAAAAAATAATAATAATCTGACTATTGTTTAATATGTCAGGCATTACAGGGTTAAATGCATTCTGAAACCTACATTTATCACTGTCATCTTGTTTTTTTAATTGTTTTTGTTTTTGCATCTTTATTAGAGTTTGTTTATGGTCACCATAATCAAAATGCTGAAGTTTTACCGTGGTTTGTTCTCTCTGTAGTGAGTTATTACAGTCTTTAGACATGTGTGCCAGTGATCCTGTGGCCATTGCACGCTGCTTTGTGGACAAGGTACACTAAATACAAACTTAAACGAAATATCCCGTTCAGAATGTTCCTTTATAAAACGGATTCATTTTCTCTCCTTTCGTTTGCAGAGCGAGTATTTCGAGATCTACACGCAGTACTGTACAAACTACCCTAAGTAAGTAAAGCGCGGTGTTAAATGCAGTGTGTTTGCGCCGCAGGTGCGAGCGAGCGCTGATGCATGTGACAGATTATTCCTCTGAGTCAGTAACGTCCTTCATGAACAGCGTCAGACAACATCAACATCAGTCTGCTTTAGGAACGAATGTTTAGATATTATATCTCATGTGTTTGTTGTGTTTAACCTTTCGGTGGTGTAAACCACCAGGGGTCATGACCTGTGACACGTACCCACAATTTTATATGACCAGTGTTATTTTCTATACTATTATTGATTTTATTCATATTTCAATTTATTTTTATTTTTTTTAATGTTTTCTAGTCTTGTGTGTTTTTGTCATTTTTATTAGGTTTTGCTTTTTTTAATATGTCTATATATATGTTTTGTTAATTTTTATTTCGGTTTTAGTTTAAGTTATTTTAGTACATCAAGTTAAAGTAAATGAAAATTTGAAATATTGCCTTGGTAACAAACTGAAATTATAATTTTTTGGTCAAGTAATTACTTTGTTTTTTTTTTTGTATTATATTTTTATTTTAATTATTTTAAGTGTTTTTTTTTGTCATTTTATTAGTTTTAGTTTTTTTTTTTTATCTATATATTTTGTTTATTTTTGTTTCAGTTTTAGTTTATTTTACTGCATCAAGTTAAACTAAATGAAAATGAGAAATGTTGCCTTGATGACTAGCTGAAATAATAATTTTTTATGTTTTGTTTTTATGGTTTTAGTTTTACTTCACTATAATAAGCCTGTATATGATTGTCATTTTTATGTCATTGTATATTTATTTATTATTACAGATTCAACATGACTGATATTTAGATGCACCAAGTGCCTCTAAAATAATAATAATTATTATTATTTTTAATAAAAAACTGTTTAAAGATTCAGTAATTCATATATCATAGCAGGGTTATTATAGTTAACTAAAACTAAAAACATAAAGATCATGTTCATAAAAGTGAAACAACAAAATCTGAAATAAAATACAAAAAACTCTTATTTTATTTCAGCTAGTTGCCAAGACAACATTTTTAATTTTCATGTAGTTTAATGTGATGTACTAAAATAACTAATGTAATGTACAAAAGAATAAAAACTATATAGAAATTACATAAAAATAAACTAAACTAAATGCAACTAAAGGCACACAACAAAATTACTAAAACTAAAATGAAGACCAAGTATAAAAAAAAAACATTTAAAATATTAGTGAAAACTATAATAGTATCTCAGAAATACAAAAAAAAAAAAAACACTGCATCAGAGGCAAATTTGTAGCATAATTTTTGATGCATAAAGCAATAAATGATAATACATTAATACATTAGTGTGATGATTTCTCTTATTTGAGTCTCTTCACAGACTAACCTGTGTGTGTGTGTGTGTGTGTGTGTGTGTGTGTAGTTCAGTGGCAGTGTTGACAGACTGTCTGAGGAATAAAACTCTGGCCAAGTTCTTCAGGGATCGGCAGGCGTCGCTCAAGCGCTCTCTTCCGTTGGGTTCTTACCTGCTCAAACCAGTTCAGAGGATCCTCAAATATCACCTGCTGCTTCAGGTGCGACCACTGGTTTCCCTTCAGGACATTTCCAGAGCAAAAAACACCATGCCAGAAAGTATTTGAACAGCTCAGTAACACTTATAAATGTATGAATGATAATATGTTGATGCTGTCCAAAGAGAGAGCATGAATCGTCTTTTATAATAGATTATAATGACTCGTGTAATGTGAACATTCAGCAGGAAATTATGTTGGGTGGGTCTTTATGTTTTTTGTTCATGATTATTAGTTAATATCATTTCCCTGCTTACGTAGTTAGCTAAAACATTAACTAAATCCAAAAGTGTATTAATTAATACAAAAAAAAAAATTGTTACTTAAAATAAACATTAGCTGAAATATATATATATATATCTAAAAACAAAACTAATGAAAATGAACAAACTCGACAAAAATATATACATTTAAAAAAACTAATAGAAATTACAAACATACAACAGAATTACTGGAACTATAATTACATTTGAATTGAAAAAAAAAAATATATATATATATATATTCAAAATATTAAAGTATCTCAGTGACACTAACGCTGCTGGAGTTTTTGTTTTTTTCAATATTTCAATAATTTAACAACACATTCACACGTTCATGTTTCTCTGATGTAGGTTATGATGATCGCATGACATGCAGCTAAACACATAAAATGTTTATTGATTTATTTTAAAATTATTTGTGTATTTTTAATTTTGCATTTTTATCACACAATCAATTATTCGCTTTTCATCGACTCACAAACCCCAGTTTGTGAAACCCTGCTATATAGTAACATCCACGGATGAATTGTGCGAAATGTTCATGTCACTTTAGTTCAGAAATCTAGGTTCTTCGTCATGAGATTGTTATACATTCGTCAGTGTGTTACTCTCGTGTCGGCAGACAGAGTCTGACTGTGTTTTTGCTCTTCTGAAGGAAATCGCCAAACACTTCGACCCTGAGGAGGACGGGTACGATGTGGTGATCGAGGCCATAGACAGCATGACCGGAGTCGCCTGGTACATCAACGACATGAAGAGAAAACACGAGCACGCCGTGAGACTTCAGGTCTGTGTACTCACTTGTGTGTGTGTGTGTGTGTGTGTGTGTGTGTGTGTGTGTGTGTGTAGTTCAGTGGCAGTGTTGACAGACTGTCTGAGGAATAAAACTCTGGCCAAGTTCTTCAGGGATCGGCAGGCGTCGCTCAAGCGCTCTCTTCCGTTGGGTTCTTACCTGCTCAAACCAGTTCAGAGGATCCTCAAATATCACCTGCTGCTTCAGGTGCGACCACTGAACATCTGACAGAACCGCTCAGTAATACTTAGAAATGTATGAAAGCTAATGTGTGAGAGAGAGCAAAAATTATCTTTCATAATACATTATAATGACTAGCGGGAAATGATGTTGGATGGGACTTTTTTTTGTTCATGATTATTAGTTAATATAATTTTCCTGCCTACATAGTCCTGTGTACCAGGGGTGTTATAGTTAACTGAAACTATAAACCCAATCAATTTATCAATAAATAGTCGCACATACATACACACACACACACATTTTGTTACTGACTGAAATGCAATAAAATATAAAACAACAAAAACATATTTTATTTCACCTGTTTTCCGAAGCAGCATTTTCCATTTTTATTTAGTTTAACTTAATGTACTAAAATAATTGACTCAAAACATAAAACTGTATTGACAATAATATAAAAAAACATCTAATAAAAATGAGAAGCACGCGACAAAGTTACCAGAACTTTAATTGCATTTAAATTGAAAATGAAAAATATTAAAATGAGAAAAATTCAAAAGCATCTCAGTGGCACTAAAGTAACACTGCTGGAGATTTTAAGTTCATATTTCAACAACTTAACACCACATTCACATGTTTAATTAGTCTCTGATCACTTGACATGCAGCTAGACGCATAACGTTTCATATTATTAGTGTGTATTTTATTTGTAATTATTTCTCTATTTTAATTTTACATTTTTACGATTTAATTAATTATTAGCTTTTTATCAACCCGAAAACCCCAGTTTGGGAAATTCTGCTCTATAGCAACACGGTGATGAATTGTGCAAAATAGATTTTGATTGCACGATCAAATCAGTTTACGTAGTTCTAAAATCCTCATATCATGATCTTCAGATGGAGATGAACAGCAGGGTTTTTTCTAAATATAGTGCAGTGTGTTGCTCTGGTGTTGACAGACGGAGTCAGTGACTGTGTTTTTGCTTTTCTGAAGGAAATCGCCAAGCACTTCGACCCTGAGGAGGACGGGTACGATGTGGTGATCGAGGCCATAGACAGCATGACCGGAGTCGCCTGGTACATCAACGACATGAAGAGAAAACACGAGCACGCCGTGAGACTTCAGGTCTGTGTTACCATCAGAACACTGCAGGACTAGTTATCAGAACTCATGCAATGCATCAAAACTAAAGCAGGGTGATTATAGTTACCTAACAATAAAACCATAAAGCAACCCTTTTCATTGCAAGAAGTAAAATAAACTGAAAGAAACTAAATTATATATATATTTTTAAAATTAAATAGATGCTAAAGCAACATTTTTCACTTTCATTTAGGTTTACTCAATGAGCTAAAATAACTAAAACTGAATTTTTTTTTAATTAAAAATAAAATATATATATATATATATAAAATTTACAAAAACTTAACTAAAATAAAAATGAAAACACAAAATATTAATAAAAACTATAATAGTATCTCAGTGATACTAAAATAACACTGATATGAAATAAACATCAATTTAAATAAAATATATATTAAAAAACTATCTTGTAGCCAAGGCAACATTTGTCATTTTCATTTAGTTTAACTTGATTTACTAAAATAACTAAAAACTGAAATCAAAATGAACAAAAACTATATAGACAAACAAAAAGCGAATTACTAAAAATGGAAAACTTAAAAACAAAAACTTATTCAAAATATTAATAAAAACCATAATAATATCTCAATGATACAAAAATAAACATCAAATAAAATAAAATTTTAAAATTAACTTTTTTCTTCTAATTGCCAAGGCAATATTTCTCATTTTCATTTAGTTTAACTTGATATATCAAAATAACCAAAACTGAAATAAAAAGGAAAAAGGGGGGAAAAAACGAACTAACTAAATTACTAAAACTTTGAATAATACAACTTCAGTAATACAATTACAACAAATCATTAGATTTTAAAAGGTTAAAAACACAATGCAGAAAGGTACAGTACAGAATGTGTGGCCTAGCTGATATCAAAAGCTGATATAACTTACTGACTTTTGCAAGAGCTGAAAATAACTTCAACTGAAAGTAGAATTGCTTGTTTACCATTTTAATAATTCACATACACATTGTAGGCCTATCATATTATTCATTCATTCACATCTTAATGTCTGTTATAAAATGAAATGGGGAAAAAATTTAAAACTAATTCAATTCTTAATGACACTAAAATAACAGTGATATGAAATGAGCACATGTTTTTATTACTGCTCTTGTCAAAGGGTTTTATTCAGGACGTGATTAGTGAGAGTATTAATCCAGTACCAGAGGAGTAATGTTGTTCCTGACCTCCATTACTCCTCTCATAGTGCTGTTTTATCATATCATATCTCATTACTGGATGGAATATGACTGTATTCGGTTTACAGTGTTAATGAGCGTCAGGCAAACACATCATATCATACTCTTTGATTAATTCTAAACTGAAGTCCTGACTCATGAGCTGAAGGATCTGTTCATTAATGGATCTGGGTCAGCATACGCTGTTGTTATAGAGCCATGTGCATGCTTAAAGATCCCCGATTAATGATTCAAGAACTGACACCATTCTGTTCTATTCTATTCTGTCTTATGCTATTATATTCTATTCTGTTCTGCTCTGTTCCATTCTATCATATTTTATACTATTCTATCTTATGCTATGCTATTCTGTCCTATTCTGTTCCATTCTATCATATTTTATACTATTCTATTCTATTCCAAGCTATTCTTTTCTATTCTATCCTATTTTATCATATCCTTTTCTGTTCTGTTCTATTCTGTTCTGTTCTATCCTATCCTGTTTTATTTTATTCCATCCTATAAAATCCTTTTCTATTCTATCCTATCATATCCCATTATATTCTATTCTGTTCTGTCCTGTTATATCCTGTTCTATTCTATCATATCCTGTTCTGTTCTATTCTATTCAATCCTATTCTGTTCTATTCCATCCTGTTCTGTTCTATCCTATTGTATTCTATTCTATCCAATTCCAATCTGTTCTATACTGTTCTGTTCTACTCTATGCTATGCTATCCTATCCTGTTCTATTCTGTCCTATTGTATTCTATTCTATCCAATTCCAATCTGTTCTATACTGTTCTGTTCTACTCTATGCTATGCTATCCTATCCTGTTCTGTTCTATCCTATTGTATTCTATTCTATCCAATTCCAATCTGTTCTGTTCTACTCTATGCTATGCTATCCTATCCTGTTCTATTCTGTCCTATTGTATTCTATTCTATCCAATTCCAATCTGTTCTGTTCTATACTGTTCTGTTCTACTCTATCTCCATTACTCCTCTCATAGTGCTGTTTTATCATATCATATCTCATTACTGGATGGAATATGACTGTATTCGGTTTACAGTGTTAATGAGCGTCAGGCAAACACATCATATCATACTCTTTGATTAATTCTAAACTGAAGTCCTGACTCATGAGCTGAAGGATCTGTTCATTAATGGATCTGGGTCAGCATACGCTGTTGTTATAGAGCCATGTGCATGCTTAAAGATCCCCGATTAATGATTCAAGAACTGACACCATTCTGTTCTATTCTATTCTGTCTTATGCTATTATATTCTATTCTGTTCTGCTCTGTTCCATTCTATCATATTTTATACTATTCTATCTTATGCTATGCTATTCTGTCCTATTCTGTTCCATTCTATCATATTTTATACTATTCTATTCTATTCCAAGCTATTCTTTTCTATTCTATCCTATTTTATCATATCCTTTTCTGTTCTGTTCTATTCTGTTCTGTTCTATCCTATCCTGTTTTATTTTATTCCATCCTATAAAATCCTTTTCTATTCTATCCTATCATATCCCATTATATTCTATTCTGTTCTGTCCTGTTATATCCTGTTCTATTCTATCATATCCTGTTCTGTTCTATTCTATTCAATCCTATTCTGTTCTATTCCATCCTGTTCTGTTCTATCCTATTGTATTCTATTCTATCCAATTCCAATCTGTTCTATACTGTTCTGTTCTACTCTATGCTATGCTATCCTATCCTGTTCTATTCTGTCCTATTGTATTCTATTCTATCCAATTCCAATCTGTTCTATACTGTTCTGTTCTACTCTATGCTATGCTATCCTATCCTGTTCTGTTCTATCCTATTGTATTCTATTCTATCCAATTCCAATCTGTTCTGTTCTACTCTATGCTATGCTATCCTATCCTGTTCTATTCTGTCCTATTGTATTCTATTCTATCCAATTCCAATCTGTTCTGTTCTATACTGTTCTGTTCTACTCTATGCTATGCTATCCTATCCTGTTCTATTCTGTCCTATTGTATTCTATCCTATTCTGCTCTATTCTATTCTATCCCATCCTATCCTGTTATGTTCTATCATATTGAATTCTATTCTATCCCATTTCATTCTGTTCTATTCTATTCGATCCTATTCTATCCTATTCTGTTCTGTTCTATCCTATTGTATTCTATTCTATCCAATTCCATTCTGTTCTATTCGATCCTATTCTATCCTGTTCGGTTCTGTTCTACTCTATTCTATCCTGTCCTATCTTGTTCTGTTATGTTCTATCATATTGTATTCTATTCTATTCTATCCAATTCCATTCTGTTCTGTTCTGTTCTATCCTATCCTGTTCTGTTCTATCCTATTGTATTCTATTCTATTCTATCCAATTCCATTCTGTTCTGTTATATCCTATCCTATCCTGTTCTGTTCTATCCTATTGTATTCTATTCTATTCTATCCAATTCCATTCTGTTCTGTTCTATCCTATCCTATCCTATCCTGTTCTGTTCTATCCTATTGTATTCTATTTTATTCTATCCAATTCCATTCTGTTCTGTTCTATCCTATCCTGTTCTGTTCTATCCTATTGTATTCTATTCTATTCTATCCAATTCCATTCTGTTCTGTTCTATTTGATCCTATTCTATCCCGTTCTGCTCTACTCTATTCTATTGTGCGTGCAGGAGATCCAGTCTCTGCTCATAAACTGGAAGGGTCCGGATCTGACCACATACGGCGAGCTGGTTCTGGAAGGAACGTTTCACGTCCACCGCGCCAAAAACGAGAGAACCCTCTTCCTGTTCGATAAGATGCTGCTCATCACCAAGAAACGAGTGGAACATTACGTCTACAAGACTCACATCTCGGTATATGATGTTATTCATGCTTAGACATCATCTGTTAATTAGACCAAGGATTCTTAAACGTTTTCATCAGCCTAAACACTTTGACATAAAATATTTACTTAAGAGTCCTCCTGAGTTAATATTTCAATGATGTAATAACACGTTCATGGTTTTCTGACGTCTGTTAATGGTCACATGACATGCAGGTAAACAAATGAAATAGTTAATTATTTTAAGTGTTGTTTAAATTTGTTCCATTTCTCATTTTTGTTTTTGATTTATTTTTTAATAATTGTTGTATTTTGATTGGTTTTATTTTACATTTTTAAATGTTTATTTTTTACATTTTTTTTATTCATATTTAGGAAGTGATTTATTTTGACTTTTTTTTTATTAAATGTATTTATTTCCATTTTACAGTCAAGTCTTAATAAGCAAGTCATTGAATCATTCATGCAAACCTTTTTTTTTTTTATATAATTCATTGAATATTGAATATTTTTTTTAATCGACTACAGCAATTAGCATTTTGTCAGAACCTCTTAAGTAAATTACGTCATTTTGTTTAGTTGTCTCTTTTTTTTTTTTTTTTCAGAAACGTCAGAGCATCATGATCTCTATTTTAAACAAAACGGGGAAAAAAACTGAAAAGAAAAAGAAAATGGTTATTCTCGGTTTATCCAAAATCTTGCAGCTCTAGTTCACTCACATGTCATGTAAACAAATACATTTGATGCTCTTTGTCTTTTATTTTGTTTTATCTCTTCCAACCCTAACAAAACCCCTGATCTGGACGAAAGCCACTATTATTGGTTCTATATTGTTTTTCATAAAACCAAAGTCAGATTGAGTTTTGTACAGAGTCATTCTACCATCTAATAAGTGATTTTCATTCAGAGAAAACATGTTGTTTGTGCTGTTTTGCTTGTGTTCAGTGTTCCACACTGATGCTGATAGAAAGTGCCAAAGATTCGCTGCGCTTCAGCGTGACGCATTACAAGCACCCCAAGCAGCCGCACACGGTTCAGGTGAGTTTGAGATCACCTCATCAGAAGCGGTTCATTGTGTTTGCTTTAATCATAGGTCATTGTGTTTCTCAGGCCAGAACGGTGGAAGAGAAGAAACTGTGGGCTCATCACATAAAGAGACTCATTCTGGAGAACCATCACGCCGTTATCCCGCAGAAAGTGCGTACAGTAACCGATCCACCAATATCTGTCTGAATCAGCGATGCTGTAATAAACCTGATCTGTTATTAAGACCAGGGATTCCTAAAGGCTTTCGTCAGTCGAACCCAGACTTGTTTTAACTCCGATATTTACTTAGTTTCCCTGAGATTTAATTAAGTTCATATTTCAATGATTTAATAACACATTCACAGTTCTCTGTTGTTGTCTTTTGATTTGTTTTTTATTTTATTTTGAAATTATTTTTCATTTTACATTTGTATTTTATTAATTTTTAGTGATTTCTTTTGACCGTAAAATAAAAATATATAATTTTGAAATAAAAAAATATATTTTCTTCATTTTTAGTAAGTGTTTAATTTAATTGGCTTTATTTTAAAATTATATCCATTTTAGTTTAATGTGATTAGAATCTTCTTTATTTTCATTTTACATTTGTATTTTATTCATTTTTAGGGTTTTATTTTTGTTGTTTTATTCATTTTAAGTAAGTTTTAATGTGATTTGTTTTATTTTAAAATGATTTTCGTCATTTTACATTTTTGTTATTTTATTCATAGTTCGCTTTTATTTTGATTGTAAAATAAATTATTTTATTTATTCTTAGTGTTTAATTTAGATTTTGTTTAAAAAAAAAATCTTTTTGCATTTTTATTATTTTATTCATTTTTAGTGTTTCATTTTTGTATTATTTATTTTCATTTGACTTTTTTTTCATTATTCATTTTTATTTATTGTATTTTATTCATTTTAAGTATGTTTTATTTTGATTTGTTTCATTTTAAAATTATTTTTGTCATTTTACAGTTTTATTATTTTATTCATAGTTCGCTTTTATTTTGATTGTAAAATAAAAATAAATAGTTTGAAAATAAAAACATTATCCTATCCTGTTCTGTTCTATCCTTTAATTTTTGATAAATTATTTATTTTCATTTTACATTTGTATTTTATTCATTTTTAGAGTTTTATTTTTGTTTTATTCATTTTAAGTATGTTTTATTTTGATTTGTTTCATTTTAAAATTATTTTTGTCATTTTACAGTTTTATTATTTTATTCATAGTTCGCTTTTATTTTGATTGTAAAATAAAAATAAATAGTTTGAAAATAAAAACATTCTCATTATTTTATTAATATAATTTATTAATTTTTGATAAATTATTTATTTTCATTTTACATTTGTATTTTATTCATTTTTAGAGTTTTATTTTTGTTTTATTCATTTTAAGTAAGTTTAATTTAGATTTTTTTTGTTTTAAAATTATATATTTTTTTACATTTATTTATAAATTTTTAGTGTTTAATTTTGATTGTATTTATTTTAAAATTATTTATTTTAATTTGACATTTTTATTCATTTTTATTTATTTTATTTTATTCATTTTTAGTAAGTGTTTAATTTTGATTGGCTTTATTTTTAAATTATTTCCATTTTACATTATTCTTTTATTAAATTTTAGTTAAGTTTATTTTGATTAAAATTATGTATTTTCATTTTACATTTGTATTTTATTCATTTTTAGTGTTTAATTTTTGTTGTATTTATTTTAAAATTATTTTCATTTGACATTTTTATTCATTCATTTTATTTTATTTTTAGTAAGTGTACCGCAGAAAGTACGTACAGTAACCGGTCCGTTTTGAAACGGATCCATGAATGTTTATCTGAATCAGCGATACTGTAATAAACATTTTCTCTGATAATTACTTTCAGGCCAAAGATGCCATTCTGGACATGGACTCGACATGTAAGTTGATTCTCAAACAAGCTGCTTCAGTGAATGACTCGTTTTTGTAGCAAAATGACATTTGAAACACTAAAACTGTTTCAAAACCTGCTATTTTGTTTCTTCTCTGTTCAGGTCCAGTAAAGTACCGCTACAGCCCAGACAGGCTGAAGAAAGCATCGTCCCGTCAGACGGAAGATTTCTCTGCGGTGTTAAAGGAACGGAGACGCTCGGGTGTGTGAATCTGGTTCTTCACTCTCATAAATAAAAGCTCAAGCTTAATTTCCACTATATAATTGTTTAGGTTCTGATCTTGTCTTTGTTTTGTGTTTATTTGGACAGAACCTGCGAGACGAACTGTTAGAAGCACTAAAGGTAACGGCTCTATTTTGTTGCTTACTGGGTCATTCAGTGGGACATGAAAGCCTGAGACTGAATCACATTTAAAGCTGGAAATATGCAGAAAGTTTTAACGTTTTTGAAAAATGTGAAACACTAAATTAAGCTGAAATATGTCATATAGTGCGCTATTTCTTAACTTCTCAAATGTAAGTAAATGAGTGTCATGGATCATGTGATTCTGTTCAGACAGTCAGATTTTCTTGCTTTCATTGAAATTCAAGATGCTCAAATCCTGCTGGAGAACATCATGATCATCAGGATGTGTTCATGCTGCTGCCATTAAAGCAACATGGATGCACACAACAATCATCATTTCACAAAATGTAGTTCTTATAGGTTTTATTATGAGAATGAATTTTAGGATCTTTCTGTATTAGCAAATATATGCATATTAAATAATATTTTTATTAAATTTAACACCGTAATCAAACACTTCCTGACACATAGTAAAGGGGAAAAAATAATTATAATTCAATTAAATGAGTTTTCTGAACTTCTTGCTATATTAGCAAATATTAGCATTTTTTTTTTTATAATTTAAGAATTTTTAATAATATTTTCATTGTTTAACACATTAAAACACAACAATCAATTTAAAATAAATAGTAATATAATGAATAAATAACAATAAAATTATAGTATAAGTATATATATAGTTTTGCATTTATTTTGCAAAATGCATGCATATATATATATATATATATATATATATATGTGTGTGTGTGTGCGCATTTTGTAAAATAAATGCAAAACAATGCATTCAAAAAAGGATTTTGTCTTTATTCTCTTTATGTAGTTTTGATTGACTGACTGATTAAAGAAGCGCTGTTAAACAAAAGATCAGAGATGTGCTTGGCAAACAAAGAAAGTTTCTAATCATAGCTCTGTCATCTTGAGCTCACGGCAGGTGCGTTGTGTTTGTTTCCGCTCATGTGGGAGACACATGTCCCGTATGTTCTGCGCTCCCTCGGTCCGCTTCAGCATCAAAGCCACATCGACTCGACTCGTCCCTCCTGTGTCAGATCAAAGGCCACAGCCCCGCACACATAATGATGTTAATTATGGAGCCCATCAGCCGCAGGCTTTGTCATGCGCCAGTTCCTTTCAGTCCACAAGCCTGTTTTTGGCTCGCTGTCAGCACAAGTGCATTATGCATTCTGATTGGGAGAAAATGAAGAGAAAAGCCTAGCAGTTCCATCTATTCTCTCTCACACACTCAGTCATGCCGTTTTATCACCTTTCAAATTAAGTTGTCATTTCCAACCACGGCTTTTCCTGTTCCTGTCTTGGAAATCAGCAGGGAGTGTCCAAGCTCTCTCAAGTAGCTCCATGCATCCGTATTGCATGCATTTCATTGGCAGTTGATTTAATTATCTTTGCATAGACCTGGCAGAGCACACACACATTTATAATACCATGTTATGTGCAACCAGAATATAAAAATGCATCGTATTTGCTGAATGAAATGCAAGTTTCTTAATAATTTTGGGGTGCTGATTTGAAAAATAATGCTGTTTTGTTGAAGCATGTCAGACTTTCTCACAAAATATGATGCTTTTTGTTGCATTTTTGCTTTTGACAACCATTTTTGCAGTGAAGAAGTCTTGTATTAACCCTTAATCAGCATAAAAACACGACAGATGATTCCTGTGTTTATCTGAGCCAGATTACAACTATTTGATCAATTCTCAACCCATTTTCACATTATACATAATCCTGATTTATTTATTTTTAAATATAGTTAAATATATTTTGAATACTTCTTTCTGTCTTTAAAACCAAAAACTTTGACATTTGACTACTTTTGTTATTTTGATAAGTGCATTAAAGCCAATTCATTTATATAATTTGAATAATCTGCATTCCTATTTTGTGAAAAAAATAAAAAGATAATTTTGAACTCGGCATCATCAAATTACCTAATATTAGGCTTTCAAAATCAAACAGTGTGCCTCATTTCAAATGCATCTGCAGATAGCCTGTTGCTAAATTGTTATATTAATAACATTTAATTTATCTTTGTCTTTGCATCATCTTAATCATCTATGGACGTCACTCAGGCACACTTAAGGTAAGATTTCCACATTTACTATCCATTGCAAGCTTTTCACATTAAAGTACAAGAAACAGCTTCAATTTACATTTACATTTATGCATCTAGCAGACACTTTTATCCAAAAAGAGGAACAAAAACAATTAGTCAAATGCATTTACAGTACACTGAATCACATTCATAAGAAAATGTCTTTTAATAATTCTTTTCTTTTCATAAATGCTATTCTGACTTAAATGCATGCAAAATCTTTATTGTCTTTAGACAAAGGCTAAACAATGCAAAGCAACTCCGCAACAATCATAAACAAAAATATAGCGAAGAGCCAACACAACTCTTGAAAAACCTAGAAAATTCATCTAAAAGTTCTATTTAAAATGCTTGAAAAGGTTCCAGTTTTGTTATAGAAATTCGCTTTTTCATAAACATCCCATAATTTTTCTGTGGTGTCCAGCATGCAGACAGCGAAGGTACTTTATTAGTGGATAAAGACCGTCTTTCCATACTACCCTCTACCAACGTCACGACCGTGAGCTCAAACCTAGAACTCAAGTCTGCGTTACCTGGAATGATTCAGAACGGACAAGATCATGAATCCAGCACAGGCTCACTGGATGACGTCAAGGATTGTAGACTTGAAGAGAAAGCAAAGAGCGCAGAGGACCGAATAGGAGGAGATAATGAAGAGGAAGATCTGATGGGAGTCGAGCAGGTAGCTGACTTTACCAGTTCAGTGTTGGCCGCCATCTCCTGCTGGCGTTATAGGGCCAAGGCTTTGCTTTTCAATCAGTTCACCACGGTGAGGGTCACCTATCGCTTTCTGTTTCACGTCCATAACCTGGCGGCCGCCTCAGTGCAATTTCTCAATAACATTCCCATCTGCTGCACGCTGAGACCGATCTTTGCTTTTGCACCCACAGATCTGATGATTGCATGAATCATTGCATGGACATAACTGCATGCGTGGCCTTGATCACTTTTTTTAACATTGTTTATTGGGTTTTTTCCAAGTTAAACAACATACAAGATGCAGAATCTAAAAATATAATTCCCATATACACCGCCCTATAACATACCCCAGACCTCCAACCCATAGTGCCACAAAAAAAACTTAAACCGGAAAACAGAGAAAATTAGATGATATCTAGTCATTCTGTTCTGTTATGCCCAAATAAGAAAGTAAACTACCCCAGTATTTGACAAACAAATCTTGACGTCTTTTCAAACGAAATGCAATTTTTTCCAAAGGTATGTAAGATGATACTTCTTTAATCCACATAGAGGTAGAAGGTGGTTTAGAATCCTTCCATCTCAAAGTTATACATTTTATGGCCGCTAGTTGGGCTAGCCTAACAAATCTCAAATTAACCCTTTGTTGATCGAGTAGTGTGGTGTCTTCTAAAAGGGCAAGCCTAGGCTCTCTAGGCACATTAGTGCCAGCAACTATGGCAATGATCTCTAAGACCTCTTTCCAATATACTTCCAAATCAGGGCAAGACCACAGCATATGTAGGAGAGTCTCTCTATCCGCTTTACATCTAGGGCAAAGCTCTGAGCACAAGCTTTTAAAGGAGTGCAGTCTAACTGGGGTATAGTTAACTCCTATGTATCACATTAAATTGGATGAGTTTATGACGGCTATTGATAGACAAAATCTGAGCATCCTCACATATTGTTTCCCATTCATCATCAGTGAATGAGCACTCCAAGTCTTTTTCCCACTTAGATTTGACGTCACAGATATTACCAGCCATCAACTGCAACAACTTGCCATAGATAAATGAAATGAGACACTTATGACCTTTTTTCTCAGACCAGATAGCCTCAAGAGGTGAAAGAGAGAGCTTAGATAAACGGCCACCTTGCTGGGTCTGAATGTAGTGTCTAACTTGTAGGTATTTAAAGAAAAATTTAGAGGGAAGGATACATTTCTGTTGTAGCTGCTCGAAAGACATGAGTGTGTCCTCCTCATAAAGTTTGTCAAAGGTTTGAATGCCTCGATCGTACCGTTGTTTGGCTATGCCATTTTTAAGAACAGGGGGTAGAAAAAGATTGTAATAAAAAGTAGTGGATCTGAAGAGAGTCTGCTTGCAGATCATCTTTTTCCTGAGGTCCGTAACAATTTTAGAGGTGCCAACGATTAGTGGGTTAGCGGTCAGTTTCTTTAAACAGTTTATAGAAACAAAAGGTATTGCAGCAAGAGTTATACCCTGTTCCTGGACCTCTTCTAATTGCCGCTATGCAGGGGGGGGGGGGACATATTTTGATGGCCAAATCCAGACTATGCGCAGCTGAGCTGCACAATAATATAAATAAAATTCGGGCAATTTGAGTCCACCATTCTGAAAAGGCATACACAGTGAACATAATTTTACCCGCGGAACTTTCCCTTTCCATAAGATCCTAGAAATACTTCTATGAAGATCTTTTAAAAAAGACTTTGGTTACACAGGAGGGAGTGCCTGAAACTAATTTTGGCAACACACTCATTTTGATGGAATTTGCCCGGCCAATTAATGAAATGGGAAGAGACTTCCGTCTATCTAAGTCCTTTTCTTCTCTTTTGAGCAGGGGAGCATAGTTTAAGTTCTGTCAGGACCACTATCATCAAAGATGATTGACAATTATAGTTTGGATTGGCGGTATGGTTCCGTTCTGGGCAAGAACTCCCTGCGCATCCATGCAGCCTAGCATGGATGAGAGAAGGGATAGCACTTTCCTCTCCTCTCCTCACTCTGTGCTGGCTGTCTTAACTGGCGCCTGTACGGTAGCTCTGTGGGACCTGTTTTTCTTCCTCTCCACCAATCCCACATCCCCCCTCCACCCCGTCCCCCCCCCCCCCCCCCCCTTCCAGGGTAAACAAAACAGAACCAACATAAATGTATTGCAGATATTGTTCAAGTTCAATAATTTTATGTACACATTTTAGAAATGAGTCTGATTCAAAGGAGAATCAGAAGGCTTAATCCGGACAACATGGGAGGAGCTGGGGATGGAGGAGGGTAATTAGCTATTGAGCAATGCGAAAACTGCTGATAATACTGAGGGACCTTATATATGAATGCTTAGATAGGTGTTATATTCCTATAGGTAGATGGGGATCAGCTGAGAGTCAGCTGATACGAGCTTGACTAACGTGACCTGCCAGAACTAACGCTACGCTTGATTTATATAATTGAGACCGATCTCTGGGTATTTGTAATCCCAAATACATGAATTTATCTGTATTCCAGACAAAAGGGACATTTTTAAGGGAAAATTGGGTAGCAGCTATATTAAGAGGCATACACTCTTATTCACATTCATTTTATAACCAGATATGATTCCGTACTCTTGTAATAACGTTGACAAAGCTGGTATAGAAGAATCTACATTTGTCAAATACAACATAATATCGTCTGCATATAATGAGATTACATGCTCAGATTGAAGGGTTGTAAAACCACTAATGATGTCATGTGAGCGAATTGCAATAGCTAAAGTTTCTATTGCGAGAGAAAATAAAAGGGGAGACAGTGGACAACCCTGCCTTGTACCCCACTCCAAAGAAAACTGAGCCGAAATCTCACTATTGGTCTGAATGACTGCTGTTGGGTGGTTATATAGCATTTTGACCATGTTAAGAAATTTAGGACCAAAATTCATCTTTTGAAGGACTGTGAATAAATAGGGCCACTCAACATGATCAAAAGCCTTTTCGGCATCTGAAGAGATAGCAATAACAGGAAAATCAACCTGAGAAGCAGAGAAAATTACGTTCAAAAGTCTCCAAACATTGTCAAAAAGAGATCGATTTTGAGTAAATCCTGTTTGATCCATGTGTACCAATTGTGAGATAACCTTTTCCAATTTTAAAGCTATAATTTTGGCTGAATTGAGTAATGAGATCGGCCTATAGGAGCCACAGCTAAGCAAGATATGGCTTCTTGTATTCCTATCTCCAAACAGTCCCTGCATTCCTCGGCAAGTGAAGGTATGTCAAGTCTATCTAGGAAAGAGTGTATTTTCACCATATCTGCACCCTGGGAGGTGTATAACAACTTATAGAACTGCATCAATTCCTGATTAATAAGATTAGGGTCTCTGATGACAGTGTTATCCATTCGACGAATTGCATTAATAGATCTCACTGCATCTTCTTTTCGTATTTGCCAGGCTAACAATCTGCCGACTTTGTCCCCATGTTCGTAATATCGTTGTTTGGCTCTGAGGAGGATACACTCTGCTTCTTATAAGCCTTTAGTGCCTCCCAAATCACCCCCGGAGAGGCAGAGCCAGCAATAAATTTCAGGAAATTTTCTATATTGTTGTTTATAAAGGCTATAAAATCAAGGTCGTTAAGAAGATCGTTACTAAAGCGCCATCTTCTAATATATAATTTAGTAGTAGGGGTATAAATGGTAAGAGCCAAAGGAGAGTGATCAGACAGGGTTCGTAGGAGATATTCACATGATTCAACTAAGTATTTTTGTCTTTTATGTAGAAGAAAAAAGTCAATTCTAGAGAAACTCTTATGGGGTCGAGAATAAAAAGAAAAATCATTTTGCTTCTTATGTAAAGCCCTCCAAATATCTATCAGTTCTAATTCAGCCATCATATGTTTCACAGCTCTTGCTGATGGGGTTAAGATAAAAACCCGTAATCTGTCTGCTGCATCTAAAGCCAAATTAAAATCACCTCCAATGATTGTACAGGGCAAAAAGAGTTTAAAACAAAAATTATGGAAAAATTGAGGGTCGTCTTGATTGGGGGCATAAACATTTGCTATTGACACATTCTCAGAAGCAATATATCCTTTAAGAATAATATATCTTCCATAATTATCTTTAACCATGCGTTCAAAAACAAAAGGCACTCCGTGATTGATCAGAATGGCAACACCTTTTGAATGAGAGCTATATGAAGAAAAAAATATTTGTCCAGACCACTGACGCAATAGCTTACAATGATCTTCCTCAGTCAGATGGGTTTCTTGTAAGAGAGCAATGTCTATCTTATTTTTCTTTAAGAACAACAGAATTGTCTTTCTCTTTAAATGGTTATTAATCCCATTAACATTCCAGGACAGATATTTATACAAAACAGGCTGTAGGGCTGACGACATTTTTCTACCTAAATGCATGTTTCTGCATCACTCAATTTGTCAGTTCTGTCCGATACAGAAATTGTCAGATTATTATTATTATTTTGACAAATATTCCATTGACCTTCAAAGAATATATAATCACAGGTAATTAAGATTATGAAAAACTCACATCAGGTGAACCACTGGTGGTTTAAGGGGTAGTATGTGATCACGTAATGTCATCATTTTGATATTTGTGACCCTGGACCACAAAACCAGTCATAAGGGTCAATAGTTTGAAAGCTGAATAAATAAGCTTTCCATTGATGTATGGTTTGTTAGGATAGGACAATATTTAGTTGAGATACATTTGAAAATCTGGAATGAGAAAATCATCTTTAAAGTTGTCCAAATGAATGCATATTGCTAATAAAAAATTAAGTTTTGATATATTTACGGTAGGAAATTTACAAAATATCTTCATGGAACATGATCGTTACTTAATATCCTAATAATTTTTGCCATAAAAGAAAAATCGATAATTGTGACCCATACAATGTATTGTTGGCTATTGCTACAAATATCCCCCAGCGACTTAACACTGCTTTTGTGCTCCAGGGTCACATTTGTGTTACAAACATTCCAGTGATAATTTCAAAGTGGACATGTTATTTTCTAACCTAATGACTGATATTGTTTGTCCCATGTCTTAAGAATCTGTTTTATATTTCAGGGTACATGCGTCAATGTGCAAAGATTGTAATGCACATATGATGGGAAATTTACAGCATGTTGTGGTTATTACGATCCAATGCATAATAATACGGGACATCGGGTGTCTCAAAGTGTTTTTTTGCACTTGGAGCCACAATGAGATTTGATTGATTGAAGTTCGACTTCAAAGGGAAATTTAACTGTCAAATTTTGGGGGTGGAGGTCGGATGGCTTGCCTTCCGTAATTAAATTAAACAAAGGTTCCTGTTTCATTGTGTTTTGTTTGATGGCACACAAAAACAATTTCAGAAGGTCAGTTGTCTGTGGAAAAGCATTGAAATGCATGGATGCTTTTAAATGAATTGCAGATGTTTATGAAAGGTTGAAATATCACTGAAGTGATGTTTGACAGATGGCAACTGTGAACGCTGTCATTTAGTAGAACATTTACATCTGTTAAATTCCTGTAATTTTCTTTGAATCCTTAGGAGAGAGAAGGTTGTTGGGAAAATTGGCCAATGAACAAAAGCAGCCAAACACCCACTAAAGAAAATCATGATGATATGAATGAAAGTTTGTCTCTCTTTGGACAGGTAATGTCATGTATTATGAACCTCATAATGGATCTTTCTCTCTAGTAAACCAACTAAAGTGTTGACAGTATTCAATCTATATTCTGCTTTCGTTGTCAATGACTCCTGTTTGAATGTGTCTGAATCCCAAAAAAGCTGTCTGGGTAGGCATTGTGTACAGCCACTATGTACATTCATATTGAAATATCTACAGTCATATAGAAACTACTGATATAGTTTCTAATCTCTTCTAATCCCTATAATATATTGTGTATGACTGATGTTGGGTTCAAAAAAGACAAGGCAGATAAACTCTTGTCAAATGGCTAAACCCTCACCTTTGTGCTATTGTTGCACACATCCACATAAAAGTGAATTCTGAGAGTAAGGTTGCTTCTGGAAATACTGTGGGAATTGTTTTCTCAGCATTCACTATTGATAATTGGTTAATCATAAAAACAGTGAAGGGGAGAGGGTTAGAAATATAAATTGCAGCTGTCTCTCAAAGCTAGATAAATTGCACTTGTTGTTTCATCCTTGTCACTTAGCCATATGGGAGATGCTGGAGATTGAATTAAGTTATCTTTACATCCTCTTTCCTTATCCTCTTCACAGCTTCCTGTAGCAATAACTTACTTCACTCTGTACACTTTCTAGAGCTCAACTGGAGAATGCAGAACGAAGACCTTCTCTCCCTTTAGCGAGTCAGAGGAGACAGGAGTGGACCAATCAGATAATTATCCCGAAATGTGTGGGACAATAATGGCAGGATGCCACACTGATCCAGAGATAGTACACCTCAATAATAGAGGACAAGAAATCAGAGATAATATGGAGGACTGTGTTGTATTCCCATCCCCTTCTGGACTTGAAGTACAGGAAAAGGAAGGGACTCCAGCCAGCAGGAACCTCTCAGACGATGTGCAGAACTTGGAGGTAGATGTGGACGTTGAAGCACCTGGTGGCCTCTTGTCTTCATCCGTACTGGACAAGGCAAGCAATATCTCAGAGCGATGTGCCAGCAGCCTCTCTCGAAGAAGTAGTCTAGGAGTCGAAGGGTCGTTTGACTTGGGCTGCCCATCTTCTCGGTCGGAAAGTAGAAGAAGCAGTTTGCTCAGCAGTGGTGCTGAGTCCCATGAGAAAGACAAAGGCCAAGAGTTTAGACGGTCCACTCCAGAATCAATTACAGAGACTGTTCCTGACAGCCCGTTCATACCAGACCAAAGATCTGAAAAGAAACAAGACACCCTTTCCAAAAAGGACCAATTGCTCATACATAAGATTCAGTGGTACTACAAACATGCTGAGCACCAGGATGCCAGCTTTGCTGTCAAACGCAGAGAGAGCCTTTCATACATCCCTGCAGGCCTAGTTCGTAGTCTCAGCCAGCAACTCAATGACCTTGCAGATGAAGATTTGACATTGCACAAGAGGGCGTCTTCTGTCACAAGGCCAACTTTATGGTCTGTCTTTAATCTTCCAGGCTTAGGGGATGACAAGAAAGCAATGGATAGCTCTGATTTTGTGGTCCCTGCAAATGGCAAAGAGTCCAAGCTTAGAGATCTAAGTGGGAACGAGGAATTCCAGCCTGCATCTGACATGGTTAAAGTGTGGCAAGACATGGAAGTGGAGATAACTGGGACTTCTGAACAACATCAGGACTCAGAGAATTCCCAAATGACTGCACCTGGTGAAGAAAAGAAAGCAGAAACCAGTAAGGTGAGCTCGGATAGTGGATTTGGGGAACCTCTAGTAATATTGGAAGAATCTGATGAAAGCTCTACCTCATCCCCAATCAACAACATCTTAGAAAAGGACAAGATGCAAGATTTCCAGAGGCATCCAAATGAGGAACACAAGTTACAAGAGCGGCACAAGGTCAACCACCCTCCTCTACCAGAGATCATCTCCTTAAGGTCCGCCAATGAGGATGAACTCATCCTTCAAGATATGGAGAAGATGAAAAATAAGGTGTTCCATTTGGCCAGGCAGTACAGTCAGCGTATCAAAAACAACAGACCGGTAGTAAGGCAGAGGCCCAAGATCTCGGAGAACCATTTTGTGCCCAAGAACCTGTCTTCGGTGATTGAGGAGAGACCTCCAGGAAAAGAGAAAGGTGGGTGTAGTTTCTGAGTACACACTTGCCAAGTTAAAGTGGTGTTCTTTCTATCATTTTTTTTGTTTTTTTTTTGTTTTGGAGACACATTCTTATCCAAACTGACCGTTCACTTTTACTTGAGGGACAATCCCCCAACTTGCAGTGTTTTGCCCGATGGCGTAGCTCAGTAGTTCCCAATCCTGGTCTCTCTTATCTGAATGTCTCTCTTATCTGACATGCATTTGAGGTCTTAGAGCAGGGTTCTTCAAATCTTGTCCTGGAGGGCCAATGTGCTGCAGAGTTTAACCCTGACGCTCCAACCCTGATCAAACTCCCCTACCTGTGATTTTCTAATGATCCTGAAGACATTGATTAGCATGCTCAGGTGTTTTTGATTATTGTTAGAGCTAAACTCTGCAGGAAAGTGGATCTCGTGTTTGATCAGGGAGACAACTAAAATGTGCAGTGTTGGAAGTTCTCCAGGACCAGGATTGGAAACTACTGGCGTATTCACTTAACCACTGACTTATTTGCTTAAAGGCTTGACACTTGAGATGGATATTGCACATTCTTATCCATCAAATGCTCCATCAGAGCCAGAGGTTGTGGATAGAGGTGGGTCAGATTGAAATCAAGTGGGAATACAGTGAATTTCCAAAGCACAAGTACTCATGTTCTCATTGGTTAATGGATTGCTATATCAGAGTTTTGTTTGCATGATTGAACATCACTTACACAAACGCATGGTGTCCAAACCTGTTCCTGGAGGACCGCTGTCCTACAGAGTTTAGCTCCAACCCTAATTAAATAAAAGAATGAATGAAGTGACGTGAAGGCCGAGTATGGTACTCGTACTCGTACTTTGTCCTCTGCATTTAACACATCCAAGTTAGTGCACACATATTAGGAGCAGTGAGTAGTAAACACTCACACTGTGAACACACACCCGGAGCAGTGAGCAGCCATTTTTGCTGCGTTGCCCGGGGAGCAATTGGGGATTAGAGAGAGCTGTTCATTCACTCCCCCCACCTGCTAGTATTGAGAATCGAACCTGCAACCTTCGGGTTACAAGTCAGACTCTTTAATCATTAGGCCACAACTGCCCCCACACCTGAACCTCAATCAAGGTCTTCAGGCTCACTAGAAAATTCCTGTCAAATGTGTTGAAGCTGGTTGGAGCGAAACTCCACTGACCCTCCAGGAGCAGGATTGAACACCCTTGCTCTACATCCATGCATCCCACCATCCCCTTTAGAAATCAAGGGATTTGCTATGTTCTCTGGTAAACTCTATTGTGAAAACACCCTTATTTGTCAAAAGCAGGCTTTTAACCACTGCTCTTTTGTTCATAGGCATGCCTGACAGGCCACTGTTGCTGAACTTGAATGAGCAGGACGTTATCCCGGACTCTACTACTACTAGTCCACCTTCCAGCCTCTGTTCTCCTGGAAGTTCTCAATTCCTCAATTGCAGATTATACGCCGAGAGACCACAAAGTCCCGTACAAACTGAGACCTTCCACTGGCCGGATGTCAAAGAGTTGCGTTCCAAATATAACAACCAAAGGCAAGGTGATGCATCCGCCTCCTCTCATCCATTCCCAGTGAGTCGCAGTACTTCTTTTTCAGAAAGAGCTCTGGAGAACGGATCGGAGAGATCCAGAGCATCACGTTCTGTGTCTTGTTCATATCCATTCTGCAATATATCAGTGCAGAGAACTACATCCACAGATTCTACGTGTTCCAGCAAGACCCTTGAAGGTGAAGGTTTGCCTTCACTGTGTAGAGTTAATGCTTTTGATTTCAGCTTGGGATCCACTAATGCACATGAGCAACTGGACAGAGGTTGCAACGCTGGTCAATATGAGAACAACCTCATTGTAGTTGAGAGGATCTGCCAGATCAAGCATGAAGAGGGTGATTTAGCAATGGGGAGAGAGAACAATAATGAGAATCAACTTGGATGTGAGGGTGTTTCACAATCTGAACTTGCAATGGCAAACAGTAAAGAGCAGAACTTTAGTGCATGGATGGAAAAGGCAGAGAACGGTCAACATAGTTTGGTTAAAAACCTGCGGGAGAGATTTCAGAACCGGATTTCTTATACATGAGACTTATAATGCAAAATTTTTACTCCGAACTCTCAGATCCTTAAAATAACTTACAGCTAGTATTCTGATCTCCAAAATATGTAATTTGGCCACTGTTTGAGAGGTGTAATACATCTTGCACAGGTTAAGCATGAATCTTAACCTCCAGTTATGAATTATCAGCAAATCAACTGGAAAAGTGATCCATGTGGACCTCAGAGAATATATTTATGAAATTTGCATTTGTAAATATATGTATATTAGAATTTTCTTGTATTATTTTGTGCATATTTCATTGAGGTGTAAACACTTGTTAAAGGAGCTGGCTGTGTGGTACTGTAATTTTTGTAATGTTTGGAAAAGTGGTTAAATACCAAAATATGTAATTTGGCCACTGTTTGAGAGGTGTAATACATCTTGCACAGGTTAAGCATGAATCTTAACCTCCAGTTATGAATTATCAGCAAATCAACTGGAAAAGTGATCCATGTGGACCTCAGAGAATATATTTATGAAATTTGCATTTGTAAATATATGTATATTAGAATTTTCTTGTATTATTTTGTGCATATTTCATTGAGATGTAAACACTTGTTAAAGGAGCTGGCTGTGGTACTGTAATTTTTGTAATGTTTGGAAAAGTGGTTAATTTTTTTTTTCTTCCAGACATTTTGAAATAAAAAGCAATAAGGAAGAACATACAAATAGGTCAGTGCATACTAAGTTACCAGTGCACCTGTTTTTGTTAGAAACTTACTACACGCAAATTTGTCGTTTTCAGAAAAGCACTGCAATATTAAATGCAATCTGTTAGTTTTTTTGAAAGGCACTGCCTGATGTCTCTTCACTGTTTGTGTTCGAGCACTGACCAGAGGAAAGAGAGTAATCTCATAAAGACGTCATTCCCCACTAATGAGGAGAAAACTGGATATCATAATCAGATTAAGCCAGATGAATGATAAACCGTGACGAAGACTGATGTCATTTTCAATCTGAAATGTTTTCAGCCGGGTGTGTACAGTTTAAAATGGTCAAATAGTGCTCAGTTTGCCAATGTTTGGTGTAAAATTAAAGTGCTGCTCTTTTTGAAAACATATTTTGCTATGTCTGTCTTACCGCTGCCGATTTCTAGTTGTTTAAAGGTCAGATGGGATTCCACTCATCTGAGAATTTGCTTGCATGATTCTCAGCATTCAGCATTATGAGGTCATTATATTAATATATAATGCAACATATTAATGCACAGTCACAAAATGTGTGTTTGGGTGTCGTTTAATGGGAGATTTTATAAGCTAGCTTGCTTTTGGTTGTATTTTTCTGCTCATTGGTGGGGTTTATCTCCGTGCATGATGTCACTGTCACTTTTGTATTTATTTGAATTGGTGTAAATATGATGCACAATACCTCTGTAAAAATGTTCAGTTCATATTCTATTTTTCTGTCAAACTACATTAAAAGAAGCTTTCCACACTATAATCATTATTTCCTTTGTCCTGCTCACAAAGTTTCTGTGTTTGTTTTTTCTTTTAAGAAACTTGTATCAAAATGATTGCGCATGACTTGGGGCCGTATTACAGTTTAATTAGTTTCTGCACTTTTTAATCAGTCTTCAGGACGTGGATATGATTAATTACTTTCATGGAAGAGGAGCCAAGCCTTAATCTTATCCTGGATTACAGATCACCTTTGAACGGATATACAGTGGCAAGTACTTTATTGAAAGCAAGTAACGGATGCTTTTATATTCTTACAAGGTGTTTATTACATCAACAATCCTCCTGGACCAACAATATACAGTACACTAGTGTTCAATAGTTAGGTTTTTTAAAGGGGTCATATGATGCTTTTTTAAAGAGCATTATTTGGTGTAACAGAATATGTTGACATGCTTTAATGTTCAAAAAAGCACATTATTTTTCAAATACTGTACATTATTGTAGGTCCTCTATGCCCCGCCTCTCTCAAACGCTTCGTTTTCTACAAAGCCCCTCCTTCTGACAAGCGCAGTCTGCTCTGATTGGCCAGCTGACCCAGTGCATTGTGATTGGCCGAACACCGCAAGCACTCGTCGGAAATGTAACGCCCCTTACCATAATCGCAAGCTTCAGCTTTCAAAATAAATGTAAAGACCGTAAATAATGTCATTAGTTTTACCATCAGTTCAAGCACAGAAGGGGAACAGAGTCGCGTGACAGACAGTTTTAGGGGGGCGTGGCAGAGTCTTAACTTTGATAAAGAATATCTCTTTGGTTTTGAGACTTTAGTCTTTGCAACTTCAGGGATCTTATCTATGCACAATCAGCTTGTAACACTCCAAAGAGAAAGGAAAACTTGAAATCGCATCATATGACCTCTTTAAAAGATCAAATGTTAGAATAGTTTGTATATTTTTATAAATAATTGTAAAGTTGTATAATTCATTATTATGCGTCCATTCAATATTAATAGGAATATATTTTTGCATATCTATGATTTTTCATTAATACTGTAGTTTTAAGACTCCTAAAAACAGTCAACAAAGAATCTTTTACATGTTGTTGTTGATGAAGATGATGTTGATGATGAAGATGAAGATGAACTCCTCCCCTCCTGCTGAGCAGGTTTCAGGTCCTCAGTCTCTCTGAAGGTCTGACTCCGGACAGCTAGAGACACACGACTAACCCGCCCAGCTGACAGACAGACAGCTCACCAGCAGAGTTTATCTGAGAGCTGAGGGAGTCGTGCTGGCGTCAGGATGGGCTGCGCGATCTCTGGATCCGGAGTGACTCCGAGAACAGCAGAGAGCAGACACACTGAGGACGAAGCTCCAGCCAGACTCACTCCGGATCACATCCAGCTCATCAGAGAGTCCTGGAAAGTCATCCAGGAGGACATCGCCAAAGTGGGAATAATCATGTTTGTCCGGTGAGAATTTTCTTCTTCAACTCCGGTTTCTCTGTATAGCGCCTTTCGTGATGCATATCATTTAAAGCAGCTTTACAGAAAATGCACGTTTCAGTTCGCAAATATTAAAGTGAAAACAAACCGTTGTGCTGCACGTTGAATGATAATAAGTGATAGGGATATTTGATACCTGTTGATGTTTCACATAGTGACTAATATTTAACAACAAATCGATATATTACGTCATGTCTCGTCCAAACAGACCGGGGCTAGTTGTCACATTTTTTACTTGAGCTATATATTTTATTTTTACTTAATATTGTATAGTCTCTTGACTGTGTAAAACACACACACACACACACGTATGTATATATATTTTTTTTAATAAGTAATTTTTTGAGTTTTTGTAATTTTCGTTAGTTTTTTAAAGTGTGTAGTTTTTATTAATTTTTATTTCAGTTTTAGTTATTTTAGTACTTCAAGTTAAACAAAAAAACAAAAGAAAACGTGCTGAAATAAAATAAGTTTTTTTTTATTTCAGGCAATGTTTATTTGAAGTAACAAAAACTGTAAATTTTATATGCATATTTATTTAGTTATTTATTTTTTAATATGTTTAATTTAACATGTTGATCCCAAAGCGGGGCAAGTTGTCAATGTATTGACAACTTATTTATTGAAATATGATATACTTTCTAGTCATCTTCCATAACATGTAGTAATATATTACAGTCTGTTTAATGGCTGGATTTATATTTATATCATCAATTTTACAAAAAATATTTTCTGAACCCAAGAGCTGTCTTTATTTTTAAGAATAAAAAATATAGCATATTGCATCTTAAAAGTCAGACAGCTAGTCAATAAATTGTTAAAGATCACAAACAGAAAATCAAGTTTTCAAGTCCATTATGTAATGCAAAACACTTTCGAATGTTTAGATCTGTCGTATAGAGACACTTTTTACATCCAATCAATTCACTGTGAAATCAAGTCCCACCCTACAGTGTTTTCCTGTTGAACGCCCTGTTTAAATCAGACATGTAAGCTGACACAATGCAGCTGTCAGAGTCTGAAAATATTTCAATCTGTACAATAACAACACAATAATGAGAGCCACTTAAGTGCAACTCAACAAAACAATTAATAAAACATTAGACAAGCTTTAGCATTTTGTCAGTAAATTGAGTCTTTTCTGGGCTTATTACGGACCGAAGTCATTTTTTTCCTGGCTCATATTAATGGATAAACAAAATCACTCAAAACAAAAATCCAGTTTATGTATCTTTCTGAACACATTAAGACACATTCGTTTGTCAGGAAACAACATTTGCAGATTGATTTGTGAAACAGCTGTTACTGAAGATAAATCTGCAAATGAAGACACAATCTCATTTAAACCTTTGAAAAATTTCAAAACTATGAGTGTGAGTGTGTGTGTGTGTGTGTGTGTGTGTGTGTGCGAGAGAGTGTTTGTGTGTGTGTGTGTGAGAGAGAGTGTGTGTGTGTGTGTGTGTGTGTAAGTGAGAGCGTGTGTGTGTGTGTGTGTGTGTGTAAGTGAGAGCGTGTGTGTGTGTGTGTGTGTGTGTAAGTGAGAGCGTGTGTGTGTGTGTGTGTGTGTGTAAGTGAGAGCGTGTGTGTGTGTGTGTGTGTGTGTAAGTGAGAGCGTGTGTGTGTGTGTGTGTGTGTGTAAGTGAGAGCGTGTGTGTGTGTGTGTGTGTGTGTAAGTGAGAGCGTGTGTGTGTGTGTGTGTGTGTGTAAGTGAGAGCGTGTGTGTGTGTGTGTGTGTGTGAGAGAGTGAGTGAGTGTGTGTGTGTGTGTGTATGCGTGTGTGTGTGTGTAAGTGTGAGCGTGTGTGTGTGAGAGTGAGTGAGTGAGTGAGTGTGTATGAGTGTGTGTGAGTGTGTTTGAGAGAGAGTGTGTGTGTGTGTGTGTGTGTGTGTGTGTGTTTGAGAGAGTGTGTGTGTTTCTCCGAGCAGTTTCTATTCTAGGTTTCAGGTCCTGCTGTGGCAAACGCAGCTGTCTGAAGCCAGAGAAACTCATTATCGTTCCACAGGAGATGAGAGGAAACGAGCACTGATGTCATTCTCTGCTCTTCCTCCTCACTGTAGACTGTGGCTTGTTGTGTCATTGTTTTTGGAAGCTTAATCAAACTAAATTCACCAAAAATCACACTAAAAAAACAATAACAGAGAAAAACAGTAATTCATTAACACTGAAGGAACAGTTCACCCAAAAATAACAATTTGCTGAAAATGTGCTCACTCTCAGGTCATCAGAGATTAGGATGAGTTTGTTTCTTCATCAGGTTTGGAGAAATGTAGCATTGCATCAGTGTCTCACTGCAAGTGAATGGGTGCCATCAGAATGAGAGTCCAAACAGCTGATAAAAACATCACAATAATCCACAGCACTCCAGTCCATCAGTTAACATCTGGAGAAGACAAAAGCTGAAACAAATCCATCAAGACGTTTTTTTAAAACTAAAATATGAGTCCATAATCCATAATAACTCTTCCTCCAGTGAAAAGTGCATCTGCTGTTGTCTCTCACATCAGAATGAGTGAGTGAGTGAGTGAGTGAGTGAGTGAGTGAGTGAGTGAGTGAGTGAGTGAGTGAGTGAGTGAGTGAGTGAGTGAGTGAGTGAGTGAGTGAGTGAGTGAGTGTGTGTGAGAGCAGCTTTACTGCCATCAGATGATAACAATAGATTTAAATCATGTAGTGTTATTAGTCGTAAGCTTTATCTTGTGGCATTGAACCCAATTAATCTTTCCAAATATCTGCTGGGAAATAAATACACATCAAATTCATTTAAATGTACTTTTTAAATTATTTATTATTAATACTATTATTAATAATTATTATTAATTATTAGTTTGTTTGTTTATACAGCAATATGATTAATGATAAATGTAAATATTTTTTTCTTGTGGCATTGAACCCAGTTAATCTTTCCTCAAATTTTCTGGGAAAGAAATCATTTATATATAGTTTAAGAAAATAAGGAGAAAATAATGTTTTAACATTAATAACACAAACCACTCAGCAGTCCTGTTTTATTATTATGAAAAATATATTATTATATCTCTTTTCTGTGGATGCTGATGAATTCTGTTGTTATGCACAAAATACCACGAGTCCTTATTTACTTTGACATTTATACATTTAGTAGAGACTTTCATCTAAAGCACCTACATTTGAGGAAAATCACAAAAAAATGGTCTCAGAGCCAATGATATTCATATTCATAGTAAACAATGCTAAAAACTACAAGCTAGAGCAGAGGTAAAATGCAGAACAGACTAAAAATAATTTGTATTAAATAAATAAATAAATAGGAGTTGTTGTAGTAAGTGCTTGGGTTTGTGGTTGTGCTTCATGAAATCAATCCAGGCTTTTATGAACATATGTATAAAGGCATTAGAAGGGTGTTGATTAGGGAGCAGAAATAATGAGCCATTATGGACTGGATCATGATCATCAAGAGCTTTAGTTTCATTTGCACAGCAGGATGAGAGAAAAACAAGCGAGAGGCGATGTTATGCTTTATTAGTGCGAGACGTGACACTTTCCATTAGCGCTGATTGACACACTCCATGTGACGTGACTGAACACACTGATCCAGAGTCTGAATACTGGAAAGGACGTGGTTTTACCGCGGTACCACCATAGTGCTTTTTTGTAAGGGATGCACTTAGATGTACAATGAAATGAAAGCATGCACTGTAATAATGCGAGGATTATAACATACAAAAATACATAACTGTATAGGACACATTAACTTAGACTGCCAGTAGTAAAATAAGAATGAATTTCTGTGTAAATGAACCTATTCTTATGTAAACTGGCACCTTAATTTCAATGTAAGAATGTATCTATGAAGGCTTTTCATGAACTTTGATAAAACATCTGCAATACTTTGATGCATTCATCTGAAACTAGTCTTGTTTTACAGTAACCGAGTCATTCCGTGTCAAATCTACCAAATTTCAGAAACCTCAAATTTTTGATTTTGCTAATATTTTTTCTGAAGAAAGATAAACATGTATAGTTGTCTTGGTAACAGGTTGTTTGGGCTGATTGTCTGTTGTCTTGGTAACAGGTTGTTTGGGCTGATTGTCTGTTGTCTTGGTAACAGGTTGTTTGGGCTGATTGTCTGTTGTCTTGGTAACAGGTTGTTTGGGCTGATTGTCTGTTGTCTTGGTAACAGGTTGTTTGGGCTGATTGTCTGTTGTCTTGGTAACAGGTTGTTTGGGCTGATTGTCTGTTGTCTTGGTAACAGGTTGTTTGAAACACATCCCGAGTGTAAAGATGTCTTCTTCCTGTTTCGGGACGTGGAGGATCTGGAGAGGTTACGCACCAGCAGAGAGCTCCGTGCCCACGGCCTGCGGTCAGTATCCAGCCGCACACACACTTACTAGTGCTCGAGGGCTCATTCAGTTTGCTAATATTTTTTCTGAAGAAAGATAAACATGTATAGTGATGACAGCCAAATTATTAAATGTGATGGATGTATGTTTACCGAGTAATCCATTCTTTTGTTGAGGAGGGTCAAAATGGCAATTTTCACCTGAGATTCAGAGCCAAATTACAGGGCGGTAAAAAGGACTTCAGAAAGATGGCAGCCTCGTAATATTACTTTTACACAGAGATTGGTAGGTCTCTTAGTAAAATCTGTTGACTTTAGCAATCTGTGTTGCATTATGTGCCAATGGTGACTATTCAAAAATGGGGAAACGACACGTTTCAAGTTTTTTCTCCAAAGTTTGCATGGCTGTAACTCAAGAAGTATTAAAGATATCTTAATATCCTTTTAGATAGTGGGTCTTGACAAACTTTCCTTTTGGCGTCTTCATTTTTAAGGCCCTGTATGGTTCAGTTCCAGAGATAGTGGAATTTCAATATGGCTCCAGGAGTAAATCGTTGTACACATTTTAAGTGATACAAACCAAATGTGGGTCACTTTGCATAAATATGATACTTCTTTTCTTTTAATAAGGAATGTCTGAAGAACAAATAATTGTATCTATGAAGGCTTTTCATGAACTTTGATAAAACATCTGCAATACTTTGATGCATTCATCTGAAACTAGTCTTGTTTTACAGTAACCGAGTCATTCCGTGTCAAATCTACCAAATTTCAGAAACCTCAAATTTTTGATTTTGCTAATATTTTTTCTGAAGAAAGATAAACATGTATAGTGATGACAGCCAAATTATTAAATGTGATGGATGTATGTTTACCGAGTAATCCATTCTTTTGTTGAGGAGGGTCAAAATGGCAATTTTCACCTGAGATTCAGAGCCAAATTACAGGGTGGTAAAAATGACTTCAGAAAGATGGCAGCCTCGTAATATTACTTTTACACAGAGATTGTAAGGTCTGTTAGTAAAATCTGTTGACTTTAGCAATCTGTGTTGCATTATGTGCCAATGGTGACTATTCAAAAATGGGGAAACGACACGTTTCAAGTTTTTTCTCCAAAGTTTGCATGGAACACAAACCACTCAGCAGTCCTGTTTTATTATTATGAAAAATATATTATTATATCTCTTTTCTGTGGATGCTGATGAATTCTGTTGTTATGCACAAAATACCACGAGTCCTTATTTACTTTGACATTTATACATTTAGTAGAGACTTTCATCTAAAGCACCTACATTTGAGGAAAATCACAAAAAAATGGTCTCAGAGCCAATGATATTCATATTCATAGTAAACAATGCTAAAAACTACAAGCTAGAGCAGAGGTAAAATGCAGAACAGACTAAAAATAATTTGTATTAAATAAATAAATAAATAGGAGTTGTTGTAGTAAGTGCTTGGGTTTGTGGTTGTGCTTCATGAAATCAATCCAGGCTTTTATGAACATATGTATAAAGGCATTAGAAGGGTGTTGATTAGGGAGCAGAAATAATGAGCCATTATGGACTGGATCATGATCATCAAGAGCTTTAGTTTCATTTGCACAGCAGGATGAGAGAAAAACAAGCGAGAGGCGATGTTATGCTTTATTAGTGCGAGACGTGACACTTTCCATTAGCGCTGATTGACACACTCCATGTGACGTGACTGATCACACTGATCCAGAGTCTGAATACTGGAAAGGACGTGGTTTTACCGCGGTACCACCATAGTGCTTTTTTGTAAGGGATGCACTTAGATGTACAATGAAATGAAAGCATGCACTGTAATAATGCGAGGATTATAACATACAAAAATACATAACTGTATAGGACACATTAACTTAGACTGCCAGTAGTAAAATAAGAATGAATTTCTGTGTAAATGAATCTATTCTTATGTAAACTGACACCTTAATTTCAATGTAAGAATGTATCTATGAAGGCTTTTCATGAACTTTGATAAAACATCTGCAATACTTTGATGCATTCATCTGAAACTAGTCTTGTTTTACAGTAACCGAGTCATTCCGTGTCAAATCTACCAAATTTCAGAAACCTCAAATTTTTGATTTTGCTAATATTTTTTCTGAAGAAAGATAAACATGTATAGTGATGACAGCCAAATTATTAAATGTGATGGATGTATGTTTACCGAGTAATCCATTCTTTTGTTGAGGAGGGTCAAAATGGCAATTTTCACCTGAGATTCAGAGCCAAATTACAGGGCGGTAAAAAGGACTTCAGAAAGATGGCAGCCTCGTAATATTACTTTTACACAGAGATTGGTAGGTCTCTTAGTAAAATCTGTTGACTTTAGCAATCTGTGTTGCATTATGTGCCAATGGTGACTATTCAAAAATGGGGAAACGACACGTTTCAAGTTTTTTCTCCAAAGTTTGCATGGCTGTAACTCAAGAAGTATTAAAGATATCTTAATATCCTTTTAGATAGTGGGTCTTGACAAACTTTCCTTTTGGCGTCTTCATTTTTAAGGCCCTGTATGGTTCAGTTCCAGAGATAGTGGAATTTCAATATGGCTCCAGGAGTAAATCGTTGTACACATTTTAAGTGATACAAACCAAATGTGGGTCACTTTGCATAAATATGATACTTCTTTTCTTTTAATAAGGAATGTCTGAAGAACAAATAATGCTGAAACTAGAGAAATATCTCAGAAGCTTCCTTCTGTCAAAAGAACTGCATTCAACATAACTGTCTGAGTGCCATAAATATTCTTTTTCCTAATTTGCAAAATTTCCTTGTTTCGGCCACCCCTGACCCTAGACAGGGGAGGTATGTAACAATATGATTTTAGATTCTAGTTCTTCATAAACTTTTCTTTTGGAATCGTCATTTTCAAGGCCCTACATCGTTCAGTCCCAGAGATATGGGGACCTCAATGATGCTCCATATTCAGATTGTTGAATATTACCCATGTTCAGTGGTTGAAAACCAAATGTGGGTCACGTTGTATACAGCTAATACGTCTTGTTTTTAAAGGGGAATGTCTGAAGAATAAATAATGTTGAAACTAGAAATGCATGTTTTTTTCTCTCTATCAAAACAGCTGTATAGGGCATACCGGTTTGAGTGTCATAAATATTATTTTTCCAAAATGTGCATGCTTGTAACTCAAGAAGTATTAAAGTCGTCTTAATAAGATTTAAAATTCTGGTTCCCAAGAAACCTTTCTTTTGGAATCTTAATTTTTAAGGCCCCATACACTCTCAGAAAAAAAATAGGTACAAAAGCTGTCACTGGGGCGGTACCTTTAATATGTACACTTTATTAAGCATTAATAAATACTTTTTCTTTGTGTGTGTGTGTGTGTGTGTGTGTGTGTGTATAATATATATATATATATATATATATATACAGCTTGCTACGTGTACTGCGTTAGGCTAACCGAGACTTGTCATTTGCACTTATATATTGTTGCTCTTTTGTTAGTTTTGATTGCTTCTATTGTCCTCATTTGTAAGTCGCTTTGGATAAAAGTGTCTGCTAAATGACTAAATGTAATATGTACCTTTAAGGTACCAATATGGACTGTTTAGGTACAAAGGTGTGCCTTTTGAAAAGGTAGCTCCGCAGTGACAGCTTTTGTACCGTTTTTTTCTGAGCGATATCGAGATTGCGCTGCAGCTCCAAATTGTTGTATCCTACCCATTTTCAATGGTCAAAAACCAATGTGTGACATCTAAGAGACGTCTATCAGATGTTTGTGCACAGCAGATGCTTTCCAGATGAAGCGATCTTTAACAGACGTCTTGCAGACGTACCTGTGCTATCTGGGATGTGTGAGTTTATGTGCCGAGCTGAGAGTGAGTCTGTAATAAAACATGTTTCCAGTGTTGGAAACGTTAAGTGACACTTGAGTCTGTACAATGATGTTCACTATTATTATCTGATCCACTCTGCGCTTCAGTGTGAAAATCCCCGGAACACCAATTACTGGAAACACCGCTGCTGTCAGACTCCCGCGGCTTTAAAGGCCAAGTGGCTGTTGAGGATGATGAGGATGAAGATGATGACGGTGTGTGTTTGTAATGAGGCCGTGCTGCTCGCTCTTCACAGCATGAAAACACACAGACGTGCCCGCGGCGCTCGAGTTCGAGTGTTTGATGTCAGTCACACTAAACTCTACCGATGCAGGGAAACATGAGTGACCCTGGTGTTTGCTGACACGATCAAAGCATGTTCTGATGAAATCTGTGTGTAGGACTGAATTGAGCTCTTTTGTGGTGTTTGAACAGCGTGATGTCGTTCATCGAGAAGAGCGTGGCCAGACTCGATCAGCTCGAGCGCTTAGAGACTCTGGCGCAGGAACTCGGCAAGAGCCACTTCCGCTACAACGCGCCGCCGAAGTACTACGGGGTAAAAATCATTTCAAACACATCGTTTGTGTGCATGGAATTATACAAAAATGATCAAATAAATAAGAATAATTAGAAAATACACATAAATAAAAAATTCAAATGTTGTCAACAAAACACCTTTTAAGTATCTGGTCAAATTATTCTGATCGTTGATTTTCTGTGGAATAAAAAATGTAAATAATCTTAGATTTTTTTTTTAATGGAACGGTAGTGAACTGTCATTTATTGATTTGTAATGATCACTGTGAACTTGTGAGAAGATTTTTTTTTCACGATCTGATGAAATTTTACCAGAGGATGTTTTTCTGTTTTTCACGTTTATTTTACGGTAAAAAAAAAATATGGTAAATTATTCTGATCATGGATCATCTGTGGAATAAAAAATTATATTTTTTATTTTTTTTTCATGTGTATATTTTATGTAAAATTTTTCTGCAATATTGTTGTATAGAAAAAAAGATCACAGAGTTTTGTATGTATTTGTTTGTTTGTCTTTATTTTGACAGCTAGTGATCACTTTGAATTTATGTAAAGATTATTTATAATATATATATATGTACATAATTATTTAAAAATAATTTTTATTATAAATAATGTTTATATATATATATAATTAAAAAATAATTTTTTATGGAAGCTCCATGACCAGAAGATATACTGTTGATAGAAAAATCTAAAGTTTGTCCAGATGGAAGAATCGATGTGAGAGAAATCTGTGTTTGATCACTTCACTGAAATGGCAAATTCTACACGAATATAAATTTCTGAAGTTAAGAATTGTTTTTAAAGATTTTGAATTAGATTTAATTAAAATGTTTCTGTTTTCACTTTAATTTGAAAGCTTTAGTAATTTAGTAGTTTTATTTTTGGTCATAAATACAATAAATAAAATAGAATAAGTTTGTTTTTTTATATATATTTTATTTCAAGTAATATTTGTCAGGTTACACTTTACTTGAAGGGGTGTGCATAAGACTGACATGACACATGTCTTGAATATGAAGGAGGTTTTATGCATGTTTATGACAACTGTCATTAAGTGTAATGCACTGTTATGTAACTTTTTAATGCAAATATGACATTATTTGACCTAACCCTACCCCTAACCATAGCCCATAACAAAGACATCTCTAACAATGTCATCTTTGCATTAAAAAGTACATAACTGAGCGACTGACACTTAATGACAGTTGTCATAAACATGCATAAAAACCTCCTTCATATTCAAGACATGTGTCAGTCTTATGCACACCCCTTCAAGTAAAGTGTAAGCATTTGTCATTAGCTGTAGTGTGTGGTTGTGTTTCAGTATGTGGGAGCTGAGTTCATCTGCGCTGTTCGGCCGGTTCTGAAGGACAGATGGACTCCTGAACTGGAGCAGGCCTGGCAGGTAATAAAACACACACTTGCACACACACACAGTTCTCTCCAGGTGTGTCTGATGATGTCTGGACTCTTCCTCATTTCTGTCTCGGTTCTCTCGTGGCTTTGTCTCATGCATCACGAGTGAGAGCGATCTTTAGTTCTCGAGCTGTTTTCCTCGCCGCAGCTTCATCTCGAGCTGGTCTGCTCTCAACAAAAGCTCTTAAGAAAGTGTTTAAATTCATATTCTCAAATATTGTCTTAATGTCAACAACGTATTTTCTTTCTTTAGAATAAAAAGACATTCTTTGCTCTTGTCTGGATTGTTATTTTAGTAGTATTGTTATACTATTATATTTTGTAGTAATAATGTTTGTTATTTTAATAATGAATTCGTTTTTATTTTTTCTGTTTGCATTTTTGTCCATTTTATTAGCTTTTTTACGGGGGTTTTTTAAAATAGATTTAGTACTTTGTTAAACTAAATGAAAATGAGAAATGTCGGCAGCTAGCTGAAATAAAATGTTTTTTATAGTTTAAGCTGATGTTTGTTTTATTTCAAGTTTGTTTCAGTTACATAAACTTGAATTCTTAATATACGTCCATCTAGTAACTTTTTTCAAAAAATAGCAGATACTTCAATCATTTTCTGAGTTTTTGTTTTCATTGAATGACGTGGATTATATGTAGATAGTGTTTTGTTGCAATGCTTAATATTAGAAATGACCCAAGAAAATAAACATCTTCACTTTGGGGATTTAAAACGAGATGGAGGTAATTCTAATGTTATGATTTATAAGAGCACAAGAATTTTCCTAGGTTTTGTCTTATCGCAAGAAAGAAAAAAAAGGACATTCTCAAGTAATATTTTGGTAATATAACAGACTTTGCTTTTTTCTGTTATAATATAAAAGACAACAACCACAAAGAATTTTATTCTTAATTCTTATCATGCCCCCCTTTTTTTAACAAGATGCAATGTCTCGTGTCCTCAGGATGCATCTGTGAAAATACCCTATTTATTACACACACTGTAAATGCCCATATTTTCAGATGGAAGCAAAAGCATGCTGTTGTGTCTCTTTAATGCAAATGAGCTGCTGTCAGTCTACTGAAACTCACACTATATTATTAGACCACACTATTTTTAAATTTGTGAAATGCTTTAGGCTTTTGTAATACAAAATGACAAATAAAGTTAGTATTGAATACTTTGTGAGTGCCTAGTAGCACTCCGAACAATTATTGTATCGGTAGCGTGAGGTTTAAAGGACTAGTTCAGTTTAAATACAAGTTATGCTGTCAATATCACTACAGTGTGTGTGTGTGCATGAGTGACCCTGGAGCACAAAAGCAGTCGTAAGGGTCAATATTTCGAAATTGAGATTTATGCATCATCTGAAAGCTGAATAAATAAGCTTTCCATTGATGTATGGTTTGTTAGGATCGGACAATATTTGAAAATCTGGAATCTGAGGGTGCAAAAAAATCTAAATATTGAGAAAATCATCTTTAAAGTTGTTCAAATGAAGTTCTTAGCAATGCATATTACTAATCAAACATTAAGTTTTGATATATTTACGGTAGGAGATTTACTAAATATCTTCATGGAACATGATCTTTTCTTAATATCCTAATGATTTTTGGCATAAAAGAAAAATGTATAATTGTGACCCATACAATGTATCTTTGGCTATTGCTACAAATATCCCCCAGCGACTTAACACTGCTTTTGTGCTCCAGAGTCACATGTATATATCAAGTGCTTTTTTACGGGGGTTTTTTAAAATAGATTTAGTACTTTGTTAAACTAAATGAAAATGAGAAATGTCGGCAGCTAGCTGAAATAAAATGTTTTTTATAGTTTAAGCTGATGTTTGTTTTATTTCAAGTTTGTTTCAGTTACATAAACTTGAATTCTTAATATACGTCCATCTAGTAACTTTTTTCAAAAAATAGCAGATACTTCAATCATTTTCTGAGTTTTTGTTTTCATTGAATGACGTGGATTATATGTAGATAGTGTTTTGTTGCAATGCTTAATATTAGAAATGACCCAAGAAAATAAACATCTTCACTTTGGGGATTTAAAACGAGATGGAGGTAATTCTAATGTTATGATTTATAAGAGCACAAGAATTTTCCTAGGTTTTGTCTTATCGCAAGAAAGAAAAAAAAGGACATTCTCAAGTAATATTTTGGTAATATAACAGACTTTGCTTTTTTCTGTTATAATATAAAAGACAACAACCACAAAGAATTTTATTCTTAATTCTTATCATGCCCCCCTTTTTTTAACAAGATGCAATGTCTCGTGTCCTCAGGATGCATCTGTGAAAATACCCTATTTATTACACACACTGTAAATGCCCATATTTTCAGATGGAAGCAAAAGCATGCTGTTGTGTCTCTTTAATGCAAATGAGCTGCTGTCAGTCTACTGAAACTCACACTATATTATTAGACCACACTATTTTTAAATTTGTGAAATGCTTTAGGTCTTTGTAATACAAAATGACAAATAAAGTTAGTATTGAATACTTTGTGAGTGCCTAGTAGCACTCCGAACAATTATTGTATCGGTAGCGTGAGGTTTAAAGGACTAGTTCAGTTTAAATACAAGTTATGCTGTCATTATCACTACAGCGTGCATGTGTGTGCGTGAGTGACCCTGGAGCACAAAAGCAGTCATAAGGGTCAATATTTCGAAATTGAGATTTATGCATCATCTGAAAGCTGAATAAATAAGCTTTCCATTGATGTATGGTTTGTTAGGATCGGACAATATTTGAAAATCTGGAATCTGAGGGTGCAAAAAAATCTAAATATTGAGAAAATCATCTTTAAAGTTGTTCAAATGAAGTTCTTAGCAATGCATATTACTAATCAAACATTAAGTTTTGATATATTTACGGTAGGAGATTTACTAAATATCTTCATGGAACATGATCTTTACTTAATATCCTAATGATTTTTGGCATAAAAGAGAAATGTATAATTGTGACCCATACAATGTATTGTTGGCTATTGCTACAAATATCCCCCAGCGACTTAACACTGCTTTTGTGCTGCAGGGACACATATATATATATATATATATATATAAACATCCCTAAGCAAAATCAATGATGGAAACTCAACTATATGCATCATCTGAAAGCTGAATAAATAATCTTTCCATTGATGTATGGTTTGTTAGGATCGGACAATATTTGAAAATCTGGAATCTGAGGGTGCAAAAAAATCTAAATATTGAGAAAATCATCTTTAAAGTTGTTCAAATGAAGTTCTTAGCAATGCATATTACTAATCAAACATTAAGTTTTGATATATTTACGGTAGGAGATTTACTAAATATCTTCATGGAACATGATCTTTTCTTAATATCCTAATGATTTTTGGCATAAAAGAAAAATGTATAATTGTGACCCATACAATGTATCTTTGGCTATTGCTACAAATATCCCCCAGCGACTTAACACTGCTTTTGTGCTCCAGAGTCACATGTATATATCAAGTTTCTGAAAAGGTATTTCACTCTATTACACAAACGTGTTTAACCCAGAATATTTATTTTGGTAATTTTTCTTTAGTCCCGAAATATTTCACATTTTCCCGTCGTTTTAGTTTCTTTGATTACAGTTTTTGTTAATATTTAGAATTTGATCTTCGTATTTTCTGTTTTCTAGTATTCTTTTTGTGTGTGCGCGCTTTATTTTATACGTCTTATTAGTTTTAGCACTTCGTGGAACGTTCCTTTACGCTCATGAAATATTTCATGCAATTAAAACAAGTCATGTGACCTTTTTAAAGTTAGTGAATATTTAGACATTTTCTGGCTGTACTGTCCATGTGTGATTGTGTTTTCCTCTCAGACGCTGTTTCAGTATGTGACGGCGCTCATGAAGGATGGGTATCTGGAAGAAGAGCGGAGCAGACGCAGCCACACGCTGACCTCCAGCAAACAGCGACCGGACAAGAGAAACACGGCCATTTAATTTCTCAGCCCTGACGTGTACATACTGTATTTATTTCAACGCTTCATTTTTTACAGTACACAAGCTTCATGTCTCTTCTGAAGATGTTACCTGCACAAGATCGTGATTCCCAGTCCAAACGTCTTTGGGATTTTCTCATGATGAAATCAGTGAATAAACGTGATCTTTTATTTGCAAATCTACAACGGTGGTTTTGTTAAGGTCAAATATAAAAACTCCACTGTTAGACCTCAAAAACGGCCAACAGGTCAATCAACAAAAGGGCATCTTTCAAACAAAATCAATTAAAAAAAGACCTGAACAGCAGAGAACTGAACTATAACGACAGGAGGAGAAAGTTACTGACTGTAACGTTCACTCAGCATATTAAAAAAAATCAAAATACGGCTTGAAATATAAAAAGTGATGGATTCCGGACCAACACAATCTTCACCTACAGAACCCAAAACGCTCATTAAGCCTAGTATGTTGTAGTAAACGGAGCTCTGCGTGCTTGCTTTGTTTGGTCGTGGATCAGCAGAAGAGGAAGGTTGGCAGGTTTTCAGACGCAGGGGCTGATGGGAAGGTGGCATAGACCTCTCTGTTACCGTCCATCACTGCGTGGCTTTAGTTTTCTTGCTTTTACTCTTTTTGTCTTTCTTTTTCAAGCCGTCCATGTGCGCTCGCAACAAGTTTGAATACGCCTGTGAAACAGACAATACACTGATATGAGGGACAATAAATACAGACTCGTGTAAATAAAACCATATCCAGTGTTTTGGATGTGATTTGGGGAAAGTCGGACTTGTGACCAAAAGGTCTGAGGTTCGAGTCTTAAATGATAAAGTAATATAACAGCTCACCATTTGAAACTTAATTACTTCTTTGGTGCTGACCTGAAAGACACATTAAAACAGATGTTAAATAATATCCAGCTACTTCCCAAAGCAAATATCACTTTATGAATGTGAAAACAAAACATGAAAACTGAAGTGACAAGAAATGTGATAAATGCCATCAAAAAAAAAAATTTGACAATAAAAATGTAAAAATAAATACAGAAACCAATTCATAAAGGAATAAAATACAAGAATATAAGAATGAGTACAAAAATAAATAAATGAAACAACCAAAAATAAATGCACAAATAAATACAGAAAATAAATAAATACATACATGAATAATAGTTGAATGAATGGGAACAAGTAATTAATGAACAAATTTTTTTTTTTTTAATCAATTTATATATTTTCAATTTCTGCAGGTTTGGTCCTGTTTGGACACTTCAGCTTCAAAGTATGTTGTAGTGCCAGTAACAGAGTAATCTGACTCAAATCAGTCTTGAGGTTGAGTAAGAAGATACAGACACACACACACACACACACACACACACACACACACAGACAAGACACACACACTCTCACTTCTCTCTCACACACACACACACACTCTCTCTCTCTCTCACACACACACACACACTCTCTCTCTCTCTCACACACACACACACACTCTCTCTCTCTCTCACACACACACACACACACTCACTCTCACAGGTGTGATTGAATGCGGTTTTCTCACCACTGTGCTGATTTTGTTCTTGCCGTCTGACGCTCTGAGGAGACATTTGTTGTCGGCCGCTTCAAATGTCTCTGGATGGCCTTTTCTGGGGACCGGCTTCGTTCTGCCGTCATCTGCAGATCAGGATCATCATTTAATACATCAAAACTGTGCAGAGCTCAAAAGGCAAATGTATTAGTGTCATTAAAACTATATACATAAAAAAGTGTTAATTGCAATAAAGCTGAAATAAATAGAAATATTAGATAATTAGTAAACTAGAAATCTTGCCTTTGCAACTAACAAAAGTTTAATTACCGACAGGGGGGGGGATAAAACTAATCAGAAATTAAACCTAAATAATACTAATATATTATTCCTACACACATTTAAATATTACAATTTAGGTGTAATTTGTTTTTATTTTAGTATTAAAAAAAAATCCAAAATATTGGGAAGGGGGGGGGGGGGTTTTAAATAGTTTAAAAAAACCATTTTAAAAATGTAAAAAAATAACACAATGTTAAAATATATTTAAAAAATAACAGAGAAATTTTTATTGCATGCTGAATTAGAAGAATCTAATAATAACTCAGATGAACTTACATTTCTTAAAAGTGATGACAACGCTGCCGGTGGTCCTGCACTTCTGGAACAGCCGAGTGAGTTCAGTCAGAAACTACAGAGACAGAGAGAGAGAGAGAGAGAGAGAGAGAGAGAGAGAGAAAGAGCAAGAGAGCGAGAGCGAGAGAGAGAGAGAGAGAGAGAGCGAGAGAGCGATAAATGAATTTAATTGAATGGGTCCAATTTTTTTGGCTACCATCCACTCCCATTATAAAGCTTGGATTAACCTGGACATTATTTAATATAACTCTGATTATATTAGTCTGAAAGAAGAATGTCATATACACCTCGGATGGCTTGAGGGTAGTGCTGGGCGGTATGACCAAAAATTTATATCACGGTATTTTTCAAAATTATACCGGTTTCACGGTACATGACGGTATTTTTTTTTTTCATGCATGACCGAGTGTTAACCATATCTTCTACTGATTGAGAGGAAGACACTTCTCCGGGAAAGTCAGACCTCGCGTTCACGGGACAGCACTGGAGAAATCCTCCAACTGAACCATAGCTAAGGTTTATCCAGAAAAGTCTCTAGGTTTGTCAGTATGAATATTCTATGGAAGAAAGCTGCTAAATCTAGTGCTAAAGTCGCGCTCGTGTGAGTGTGTGTGAGAGAGAGAGTGTGTGTGTGTGAGTGTGTGAGTGTGTGTGTGTGTGAGTGTGTGTGTGTGTGAGTGTGAGTGTGAGTGTGGTGAGTGAGTGTGTGTGAGTGTGTGAGTGTGTGTGTGAGTGAGTGAGTGTGAGAGTGAGTGAGTGTGTGTGAGTGAGTGTGTGAGTGAGTGAGTGTGTGAGTGAGTGTGTGTGTGAAAGTGAGTGTGTGTGTGTTTGAGAGACACGGGAGCTGATGGCAGCGGGCGGTGGATATTTGTGGCGGTCAATGTGGATATTGTGGATGAGTTCTTCTGTGTAACACATACAGATGTTCCCTCACCACAGTGCAGCAGTGAAAAGAGACCCCTCTCAAACAGTGTCCCGAACGTTGTTTAAGCAACATACCCCGGTATTGCGGTATTAAAAAAATGTATATCATAACAAAAATAAACACCGGTATTCGGTATGAACCGGTGTACCGCCCAGCACTACTTGAGGGCGATTAAATCATGAGGAAATTTGCATTTTTTGGGTGAACCACCCCTTTAAGAAATTAAGAATATTACTTGGTGGAGGACCTGCTTATAAATAAATAATGAATCTATAAAGTTAAAAAGAACAGCATTTATTTAAAATATAAATCTTTTCGAATAATGCAAGTCTTTATTTCCTTTCTTTTTATCAATTTGACACATCCTTGCTGAATAAAAGCATTAGTTTGTTTAAAAAATAAACTTAAAAAATACTGACCCCAAAACTTTTGAAGTTTGAACACTAGTGTATATCGTTACAAAAGATTTCTATTTTAAATAAACGCTCTTCTTTTTAACTTTTTATCCTGGAAAAAAGTATCACAGGTTCCACAAAAATATGAAGCAGCAACAGTTTCAGCACTGATAATAAATCTGCATATTATACTGATTTCTGAAGATCACGTGACACTGAAGACTGGAGGAATGATGCTGAAAATACAGCTTTGATCACAGAAATAAATTACAGTTTAACAGATATTCACATAGAAACCAGCTATTTTAAATAGTAAAAATATGTCAGATTTTTACTGCTTTTGCTGTATTTCTGCTCAAATAAATGCAGGCTCGGTGAGCAGAAGAGACTTCATCTTGTGGATTATTGAGATTTCTCCTATTACAACGAAGCAGGAAGTGCTTAGTTACCCTAAACTCTAACCTGAACATTATTTACAGTACATAATAACACGACTGCTTTAATATGAGCTGAAAACCGCTGCAACACGAGTCAGTCGAGACAAATCAGTGTGTGTGGAGATTGTGGGACTTAGCTTGCTAACACGTTTGGACTCGACGCCGCCCGATTAAACACGCAAACTCAGAATCTCTCGTGCAGCACAGGAATATCACCGACTGGTAACCGCTGAACGGGAGATATGAAGTGCTCTTACCGCGTCGTTTTCTAATAACACCATGTCTTCTTTGATGAACGTGCAGCTAACCGTGTGATTAGAACACGTCGCTCAGCTGCGCTGAAGCTCCGCCCCTTCCTGCGCGGCGTCAGTGCGTCGCGTGACGTCACTGCCGCTGACGCTTCACGGCGGGTTTGTGCTAAACTCTAATACTTTATAAATGTTCTATTTAATATTTTTTTCACAGATATCCGTTTTATATTTGAGTCGGGGTTTTACCTGTGTTTACTATGGTACACTGTAACTAAAAACGTCAGAAACTGAAATTACATGGTAAACACTTGCATTTACAGTTAACATATATATATATATATAATTTTAACTATTATTAAAAACGCTACTACTACTAAAATGTGTGTTTTACAATATTATGCATGTGATATTAACAATATAACATAAAAAGGTGTATTATATAATAATGCAAAATATTATATAAAATATCATAGTAAAAAAGTGAAAAATATATTTTATGCATAAATACTTTTTTACTTACACATTTTTAATAATCCTATTACATTTATAATATTATAAAATACACATTTAATTTATATATAGCATATATACATAGGTAAGAATATAAACATATATATGTAAAAGTGAAAAATATATTTTATATTGTTTTTAATTTTAACTTTTTGTAAATGTTATAATTATTTGAGGAGAAAAATATTGAAAAATATTATGAAATTCTATATATTAAAGTACAAAAAGTGTATAAAACTTATATTTTATATAAACGTTTCACTTTTTTCTTTAGATACATACATGTAAAAATTAGATTTAATATCTTTTACATTATTATATAAAACACATTTTTATAATACCACATTTATAATAATATTAAAATATATTTATTATATTATAAAACACACACACAAGGTAAAAAGTGAAGAATATATTATATATATATATATTTTATTACATTTTATAAAAATACTGACGAAACGATTACGAAATTACGTAAAGTAAAAAAAGTGAAAATGTGTATATTTTCATTGTAACTTTTTTAAAATGTTATGATTGAGGAGAAAAATACTGACAGAAAAGATTGTGAAATATATATCTATATAGCATCCGTTTATACATTCTAGAGCAGAATTGACAGAATATTTCAACATCTCTTGACATGCAGGGAAATCTGTCATAAAACTGTCCTAATAACTTTGATATATATTCAAGCTAAAGCACTGAAATGCTGCATCTACTCTATTGTCTATCCAATGCATTACTGATTTAACTGTACTGCATAAGAGACTCATTTTTTCTTTAACCATACAGAAGTTAAATGCAGCCTTGCTACATATACATATAACATAGTTCTCTTATTTAGAGACTTGTTACAGTTGTTTAACATGCACGTGATATATGAGTATTTCAGGTTTCACGCTGAGAGAGTGAGGTGTCTATGGTGCAGAGGTGGAGAAAGCGCAGTCGTGGATTCGGTGGAGGTCAGCGAGCGGATGAGAGTATCGAGAGCTCCAGTCTCTGTCAAACACGGCTCTCAGCTGCTGATGGAACGAGCTTCCCGAAGCGTCCTGGGAAAGCACCAAAGCCACGCCGGCTGTGGTGTTGAAGTAGTCGGCCGACCAGTTAGACGTGCCTGAACACAAACAGGTTTAGTTTCCGTTCAGTTCAGCAGCTGTGTGTTTAGTTTGAGTCTTCAGGCCGTAACTCACCGACATACGCCACTTTATCCGTCACCAGGTATTTGTTGTGGTTGATTCTGGAATAAGGGACGTGTGACTGGTTTCCGGCTGGAATCACAAACACTCTCTGTGCGGGGAAAAGCATTTAAAAACAGACCTTTACTGACGACATCCTCATGGGAGAACTAAGTAAAGAATGTACGTAATACACATCTAGTGAAAAAAATTAAGTAGAATTAAATTAAAACTAAATAAGTAGAATTGAATACAAATTTAACAACATAATACATCTAGAAAAATTGAATAATTAGAAGTAAATTAAAACTTAACATTATATATATATATATATAGAGAGAGAAATTAAATGAGTAGAATTAAATAAAAACTAAATAAGCAGAATTTAAAATGCAAAATACATCTAGAAAAATTAAATAAGCAGAATTAAAAATAAATACATATCTAGAAGAATTAGCTAAGTAGAATTACATAAAAAAACTTACTGTACATCTAGAAAAATTAAATAAAGGGAGAATTAAATACAAATTTAACATAATATACACTTAAATAATTAGAAGTAAATTAAACCTTAACATAACACACACATATATATATATATATACACAGAGAGAGAGAGAGAAAGAGAAATTAAATAGATAGAATTAAATAAAAACTAAATGAGCAGAATTTAAAATGTATTGTAATAAGTAGAATTACATAAAAACTTTGAGATATACATCTAGAAAAATTAAATAAGCAGAATTAAATATAAATATATATCTAGAAAAATTAGATGCGTAGAATTACATTAAAAAACTTAATGTGATGTATCATCTAGAAAAATTTAATAAAGATAGAATTAAATAAAAACAAAATAAGCAGAATTTAAAATGTAATGTAATAAGTAGAATTACATAAAAACTTTGAGATATACATCTAGAAAAATCAAACAAGTAGAATTAATTAAAAACTTAATGTAATGTACATCTAGTTAAATTAAATAAGTAGAATTAAATAAAAACTTCATGTAATTACATCTAGTTAAATTAAATAAGTAGAATTAAATAAAAACATCGCATAATGTACATCTAGAAAAACTGAATAAAAGTAGAATTAAATAAAACTTAATGTAATGTACATCTAGTTAAATTAAATAAGTAGAATTAAATAAAAACATTGCATAATGTACATCTAGAAAAACTGAATAAAAGTAGAATTAAATAAAACTTAATGTAATGTACATCTAGTTAAATTAAATAAGTAGAATTAATAAAAAACAATGTAATATACATCTAGAAAAATTCAATAATTAGAAGTAAATTAAAACTTAACATCATATATATAATTACATCTAGAAAAATTAGATAAGCAGAATTAAAAAGAACTATATATCTAGAAAAATTAAATAAGTTGAATTAAATAAAAATTATATAATATACATATAGAACAAATAGATAAGTAGAATTAAATACAAACTTCATGTAATATACATGTAGATAAATTAAATAAAGGTAGAATTAAATACAAAGTTTCATAATTTACATATAGAAAAATGTAATAATTAGATGTAAATTAAAACTTAACATATATATATAGAAAAATTAAATAAGCAGAACTGAATAAAAACTGAATGTAATGTATGTTAAGAAAAATTAAATAAGTATTTTGTAAATAAAAACTTTACATAATGTACATCTAGAAAAACTGAATAAAAGAAATAGAATAGAATTAAATAAAAAACCTTCACGTAATATACATCTAGAAAAGTTACATAAGTAAAATGAAATAAAAAATGTATGTAATATACATCTAGAAATATTAAATAGGTAATAATAAATATAATAAAAATAAATATTATATTATATTGGCGTTATTTATAAAAATAAATAACGCCACGTTGCATAAACACCGTAAGAATATTAATCTATTAAAAAAGCATGGTTTACTATGATTTTGAAGTAGTAAACTCTAATCTTTAATGAAATGTTGACACTAAATGAGCTATTTTTGAAACATTGGTAGTTGTTATAGTTCATAAATGTTTGTGGTCATGTCGTCTGCATCCAGAGCCGATCCTCCCTAAATGCAAAATACGCACGCTGCATAGGGGCCCCGAAACACCAGGGGGCCCCCTTGCTCTCAAAGATGATTTAATTTTAGTTTAGTTTTTTAATTTGGCCAGCGGTTATGAAAACATGAATGATCATTTATTTTAATGGGGTGCGCTGTCGCCTTTTCTACATAACAATCAGTCAAATCATGTAATGTGAATGTCGTACAGTCTTGCTCGAGACTAAAAAAACGAGCTGAAAGCCGCGAAAGAGACACTGTTTCTCAAGCGCTTTCCGCGAGCGTGATTCGAGACGGAGTGAAACACGGACAAATGCGTTTCATTCACTCATTCATAACCACTCATACCCCACTTCAATAAGAGTCTCATCTCCCATTCCCTTCAAGAGCCAGTTGCGCTCGTGCCATGGCGTATTTGCTATTTACACGGCGGAATTTGCAAGTGCAAAGACAGAAGGCATCTCCAGGGATGAAACGGAGCTGCTCGTGCGCAAGCAAATAGGTAGCCTAATTCTGATACATGCAATGACTATCCATTATGACATGTAGGCATTTTTACATTTATGTAGCCTACACAATAATAATCTTTTACATTGCAATCCTTTAATTTTTAATGTTTGGCATGTTTGTGTGCTGCTGTGCGTCCCTGTGTGTGTAATAAGCAGTGTACACGTGCTGTGGACCCGCCTCTACTAGTGCGCTCTTTAAATAACAAAAAAACTACTGCGCCATTGACTTTAGAGCAGGTTGGTCAATGGATGAATTATTATTAGAATGAACACACCTCGTTTTCAGACCAGCACACCCATGAGCGCACAAATGGCGCAAATGCATTTCCTATTTAAACAACGTGGCGCAGGACGTGAAAATGACAACTGCGTCGGGCTGAAACTAGCAAAAAACGCAGCATAGCGCCGTGTGTATGATAGGGCCCACTATCCCACTACTAGAAGTCTCTTCTGCTCACCAAGCCTGCATTTGTTTGATCTAAAATACAGCAAAAGCAGTAATATTCTGAAATATTTTTACTATTTCAAACAGCTGTTTTCTATGTGAATATCTGTTAAACTGTAATATATTTCTGTGATGCGCAGCTGTATTTTCAGCATCATTCCTCCAGTCTTCAGTGTCACATGATCTTCAGAAATCATTCTAATATGCTGCTCTGCTGTTTAGAAAACTATTATTATTATTATTATGTTGAAAACAGCGGCACCCATTTAGAGATGTATGTTTTGTGTTTTTGAAGGTGTTAGCAGCTGCACCACTAAAGACCCGTCACGAACTTTAAAAACAGATTTAGTCTCTGTTTGAACTGTAGAATGGCATTAGCTGAATGCAAGACATTTGTTGTCATAAGTAGAGTATGTTGAGGAGATGTGCTGCAGTGCTGCCAGATGGAGGAGCTCTAGTGATGTGAGCGAGTGAGAGAGGAACAGAGCCACAGATCTCCTCCAGGCATCACATGTCCAGCTTTTTCTCCTCACGTGAAATACAAAACCTGTGAATCCCCAAAGCGTCTGATGCCCTTCATCAGAGAACAACTATAGAAAGAAAATTTAATACATGTCAAGTAGTGGAGTAAAAAGTTATATTGTCTTAAAAAAACAACAAAAAAACATGTTTTCAATATTTCTGTCATATACCGATCAAAAGTTTAGTAAGATAAAAAAAAAGAAATGTTGTAGACAGAGTTTTGTTCTGCTCATCAAGGCTGCACTTATTTGATCAAAACTACAACAGTAATAGTAATATTGTGAAACATCATTACAATTTAAAATAGCTGTTTTCTGTGTTAAAATGTAATTTATTCCTATGAAATCAAGCTAAATTTTCAGCATCATTACTATAAGAAAAAAAGCAACAACTTTATAGCAAGAGATTTCCATATTAGCATTTAATATAAAAATATATATAAAAAATACACTACTGTATTTAAAAAAAAGTTAATACCCCTATTCAGCAAGGACGTATTAATCTGATCAAAAGCGATAGTAAGGACACGCATAATATTATAAAGATTTCTATTTCAAATAAATGCTGTTCTTCTGAACTTTCTATTCATCTGTGAATCCTGAAAAATAAAATGCATCACAGTTTACACAAAAATATTGTGCAGCACGACTGTTTTTAACATTGATAATAATCAGAAATGTTTCTTGAGCAGCAGATCAGCATATTATACTGATTTCTGAAGATCATGTGACACTGAAGACTGGAGGAATGATGCTGAAAATACAGCTGCGCATCACAGAAATACATTACAGTTTAACAGAGATTCACACAGAAAACAGCTGTTTTAAATAGTAAAAATATTTCAGAATATTACTGCTTTTGCTGTATTTCTGCTCAAATAAATGCAGGCCTGTTGAGCAGAAGAGACTTTAAAAACATAAAAAATCTTACTTGCCAATTTTTGCTTTTTTAAGCTAGTGCATCTGAGAGGTCATGATGTAATTTGTACTTTAAAAAAAAAAAAGTTCAACAATTAAAAATAATATTATCAGAACTAAAGCTCATGAGTTATTGTGATTTTTTTTGGGGATGGTAAAAATCATGGTTTACGGTGCAGTACCACATTTGGATTGTTTTTTACAGCTAAAAAATGTTTTAACTAAATGAAAATAAACTCTACAGTACTGATACTGTAAATGAAAATACTGTAAATAAAATACAGTAAAAAGATTATTGTACTGTAAATGCAATTACAGTAATAAAACCGTAAACATTTTTACAGTAACTTTTTTACAGGTACATTTTTTTTAACTAAATGAAAATAAACTCTACAGTACTGATACTGTAAATAAAATACAGTAAATACATTATTGTACTGTATATGCAATTACAGTAATAATACCGTAAACATTTTTACAGTAACTTTTTTACAGATAAAAAATGTTTAAACTAAATGAAAATAAACTACAGTACTGATACTGTAAATGAAAATACTGTAAATAAAATACAGTAAAGACATTATTGTACTGTAAATACAATTACAGTAATAATACCGTAAACATTTTTACAGTAACTTTTTTACAGATAAAAAATGTTTAAACTAAATGAAAATAAACTACAGTACTGATACTGTAAATGAAAATACTGTAAATAAAATACAGTAAAGACATTATTGTACTGTAAATGCAATTACAGTAATAATACCGTAAATATTTTTACAGTAACTTTTTTACAGCTAAAAAATGTTTAAACTAAATGAAAATAAACTCTACAGTACTGATACTGTAAATGAAAATACTGTAAATAAAATACAGTAAATACATTATTGTACTGTAAATACAATTACAGTAATAATACCGTAAATATTTTTACAGTAACTTACTGGCATCCAGCTGCTGTTTACAGTGTACTATTTTTTACAGTAATTAGTTTTCTGATTATTATAAATGCTGAAAATAGTCGTGCTGCACAATATTTTTGTGGAAACCGGGATGCATTTTATTTTTCAGGATTCACAGATGAACAGAAAGTTCAAAAGAACAGCATTTATTTGAAATAGAAATCATTTGTAGCATTATAAGTGATCAATTTAATGCAGCCTTGTTGAATAAACTTTTTCACCATTTTGAAGCTACAGCTTTTTTATTTTTATTTAAGTTTAAGTTATTTTAGTAAATCAAGTTAAACTAAATTAAAATGAGATGTTGCCTTGGCAACTAGCTGAAATAAAATAAGTTCATTTTTATTTTATTTTGAATTTTATTTCAGTTAATGTTTATTTTATTTCAAGTTAAGTCAAATGTTTTTTTTTAAGGTTTTAATTTTAGTTAACTACAATCACCCTGTTTCATATAACATTATATTAATTATTTATATACTGAATTAGTGCTGGCAAAATTGTTATTTTAGTGATTTAAGACACTATTATGGTTTTAAATAATATTTTCATTTCATATAAATTTTGATATGTATATTTTTTGTTTTAGTTAAAGTTGTAGTCATTTTGTTGGGTGATTTTTGTCATTTTCAGTATGTTTTTTATGTCTATATATTTTTATTTAAGTTTTAGTTATTTAAGTACATCAAGTTTAAATTAAAACGAGTCGTCTCAGAAACTAGCTTAAATAAAATAAGTTTTAGTTTTTTTATATTTATTTTTATTTTAATGTTGGTGATTTTTTTATGTTTCAGTTTTAGTTTTAGTCAATAACCCTGTTTTGTATACTATTGTAGTATTTATTAATATACCGAATTAGTTTTTATTTTTATATCTCCAGTTTTCATTTTAATTTTAGACATTTTTATTATTATATTTATTTCCATTTAGCTTTTTTTTTTTTT